TGAGTGAGTGACACCTAGTGGTCCAATCATCAAAGACTTTATGAAATACTTAAGATTTTAAGAGTTGGACATATATTTAAGATAAGAGTGAGTGAGTGACACCTAGTGGTCCAATCATCAGACTTGATGAAATACTTAAGATTTTAAGAGTTGGACATATATTTAAGATAAGAGTGAGTGAGTGACACCTAGTGGTCCAATCATCAAAGACTTTATGAAATACTTAAGATTTTAAGAGTTGGACACATATTTAAGATAAGAGTGAGTGAGTGAGTGGAGTTTTATGTTGCTCTTTGCAATATTCCAGAAATATCACACCAGGGTACACAAAATGGAGTCCACACATTGGAACCATGTGGAATAATTGAACCCGGTCCTCTGTCACGATGAGGCCACAGTTCAGGAGTGTATCACATACCCATGGTTTGATACTGAACCAGGCTTTTTGCAGGTATTGGTCTTTTGAGTGAGTGAGTGAGTTGGGTTTAACGCCGCTTTTAACAGTATTCCAGTTATATCGCTGCGTGTCAGCTTAATGTGGGAAGAAAGCCCGAAGTGAGCAGGTCTCCGACGTTTACCACTTCGGTGAAACCCATGAGCTAGGGTATGGTGCTGACAAACCTAGAAACATAATCGGGGCAAACCGGGATTCGAACCCACAATCTATTGGTCTTTTGAAGTTTGTGTAGGATATAAGTCTATTCAGTGTTACCAACCTGTTATTTCTTAATGTTATGGGGTATATCATTTTATATTCCACAGCAAGATTGGTTGGTTTGTTGTTTAATGCCGCACTCAGCAATATTCCAGCTATATGACGTCAGTCTGTAAATAATTGAGTCTGGACCAGACAATCCAGTGATTAATATCATGAGCATCGATCCACGCAATTGGGATCGATGACATGCATCAACCAAGTCAGTGAGCCTGACCACCCGATCCCTTTAGTCGCCTCTTAAGGAATTGTTAACAGCTGCCTAAATGACTTTCCAAAGAATAGGCACACTCACTTTAAGAAAATGTTGTTCTTACCTGTATGATGTAACAGTATTACATCCCAAAATTCTGAATAGTACATTTATATACAAATTAATAGATGATTGGCAAGCAGGTTAAGTCCGTAAAAATGTTTCCTCTTTGAACAATATTCAACTTTTACATGTTGTACATCAATCCTACACTTTAGAGGCATGGATGACATCTTCTAAGATGTGACAAGTTGTTAATCAGGGTTGTGTCCCTTAGGTATGCCTGGATCTGATCACTGTGGGTTACTCATGTTGAGTGGTTAACATCTAACACCTTTATCACTTCAGGCTTTCCTCCCACTTTGAGATGACACGCCATGATATAATTGCAATACTGTTAGAAGCATTGTACAACAAAATTCACTCAAATTTGTAATTCATTGTGATATTTTGTAACTTATTACATATTAATACTCACCTGTGTTTATGGAAGGTCTTATCAGGTAGCTTGAACAAATGTACATTGCACCTTGAACACATTCGCATTGCCCTGATAGTTTGGAGTGCTGCTGATCTTGTCCCAACTTGCCGTGTGTCTTGTGTCACCTGCCCCTCTCACAGGGGAACCCAGTGGTTGGAAGCATGCTCCTTCAGCAAATAGCCAGGGCTCCCCACAGGACATCTGTCTTGCTGCACTGTTAGGAATCTTGGGGGTTAAAAAAGGAATTCAAAGGTTAAATTTGATGTTATTTCTAAATATTTTGATATATTTCTTTTATGTTTTGTAGTTTTGCTGTTTCAAAGATTAACACTTGCACTCAGTCTTACTCTTACACTTTAATACACTTACATTTAGACTAAGTCTTAATTGGTTCTTACACTTACACTAGCTTTACTCTTACACTAACAATATGTTTTATGTTTTACTCTTACACTTACACTAAGTCTTACTCTTACACTAAGTCTTACTCTTACACTAAGTGTTACTCTTACACTAAGTCTTACTCTTACACTAAGTCTTACTCTTACACTAAGTCTTAATCTTACACTAAGTCTTACTCTTACTCTTACACTAAGTCTTACTCTTACACTTACACTTAGTGTTACTCTTACACGTACACTTAGTGTTACTCTTACACTTACACTTAGTGTTACTCTTACACGTACACTTAGTGTTACTCTTACTCTTACACTTAGTGTTACTCTTACTCTTACACTAAGTGTTACTCTTACACGTACACTTAGTGTTACTCTTACTCTTACACTAAGTGTTACTCTTACTCTTACACTAAGTGTTACTCTTACACCTAAACTTAGTGTTACTCTTACACCTACACTTAGTGTTACTCTTACACCTACACTTAGAGTTACTCTTACTTTTACACTAAGTGTTACTTTTACTCTTACACAAAGTGTTACACTTACACTAAGTGTTACTCTTACACTAACACTAAGTGTTATTCTTACTCTTACACTAAGTGGTACTCTTACACTTACACTTAGAGTTACTCTTACACCCACAGTTAGTTACTCTTACACTTACACTAAGTGTTACTTTTACTCTTACACTAAGTGTTACTCTTACACTAACACTAAGTGTTACTCTTACTCTTACACTAAGTGTTACTCTTACACTTACACTAAGTGTTACTCTTACTCTTACACTAAGTGTTACTTTTACACTAACACTAAGTGTTACTTTTACACTAACACTAAGTGTTACTTTTACACTAACACTAAGTGTTACTCTTACACTTACACTAAGTGTTATTTTTACTCTTACACTAAGTGTTACTCTTACACTAACACTAAGTGTTACTCTTACTCTTACACTAAGTGTTACTTTTACTCTTACACTAAGTGTTACTCTTACACTTACACTAAGTGTTACTCTTACTCTTACACTAAGTGTTACTCTTACACTAACACTAAGTGTTACTCTTACTCTTACACTAAGTGTTACTCTTACACTTACACTAAGTGTTACTCTTACTCTTACACTAAGTTTTATACTTCGACCAAGTCTTATGCTTACTCACACACTAAGTCTAATCTTACACTCAGTGTTTCTCTTACACTTACTTTGAATTTACGCTTATCCAAAGTGACACCTTTACATATACACTGTAAATAAAAACACAAAACACTTTCCATAATCCAGAGCCCATTAGATTATTCCAACCATATCATAAGCATGTGTTTATGAATCACTTTCAAATGGTGATGATACTTACAGATATGAGGTGTAAGCAAAAAAGGTGAGCGTATCCTGCCTCACTGCAGGCACCCATCACAAACACATGCAAAGGCAAATCAAGTGTTCACCTGAAAACCATATGAACATATTGCATCCGACATCATTTTTGGCTCTTATGCATCAAATTTAGAAATGATGTCCACAATTCTACAATAAAACGTTTGAAAGTAAACCTTTGGCCTTGATGCTGTAACAACTTTTGAGCAAGAGTTGTATGACACTCTTTGAAATCTTCATGGTGAGATTGTACCTCAGAAGTTGTAAAACGTAGAAACCAAAGGCCGGAGCTCCTGTAACACATGTAACTCATAGCCTTATCTCAACAGCTATAACTTAACACATCAGGTCCAATATTGATCACAATGTGTGTGAGGGGATCCACAGGCTCCGTCCATCTGGCTCCACTAGACATCTGTAGTGCACACATCCTCCTCTGCAGTAAACCGTCTCCACCCCTATGTTCCTGTACCTTGGGCCTATTCGCCACTAAGCCTTGCCTTGAAAGACATGTCATCGTCAAACTCTCTTATCACCAACTTAGCACAAAATGTCTCCAGCACATGAGCGTGAATTCAACATTATTCTTGTAAATATGAATCTGGCATACCGTATTCGACGTAATAAGTGCCCCGCTCTAATAAGCACCCACGGCGATGTTTGCTAATATATTGCCTAGTGAACAATCTCAATTAGCACCCCTCCGATTGATCAATGTACACAAGACTTATTTATTCATGTACATCCTTAATTATGGGCAATTAAATCCTGGAAAATATATATGTCGTATATAAATATTTCAGGCTGTCAGCATAAACCATAAAATTTACGAACTTTTTTCACCAAAATAATATTCCAATAACAGCCCCTTATTTCTAATTTTGAGAGCGCGCTGGGCGCTTATTACGTCAAATAGGGTATATCTAATTTCAAAATGGCTGCCTTGATTGAGTGAGCCCTTGATACACTTTATTGAATCAAAAGTCTGTTGTTAATAATCATAGAGTACCGGAGAAGACACTGGGTGTTGCCTTGTCATGAGTGAAAATGTCCTGCAGGTAACACCCATGAAGGTGAAGGTCACAGCAGGGTTTTCACATGATGCTGGATCTCATATTCATTGTATGCAAATATCGTCCAAAAGTTTCTCACAATATTTTTGAAGAATCATATTGATGCCACATTTTTATTCATCATCAGTAGTTGGCACGTCCAGGTGACTGCAGCAGAAACTCCCCAAACCTATGCCTATTCAAAGTCTCTCCCGGATTTCAACTGGATTGAGTCCTAGTACTTGCTGACCGCCTCCGTGGTCTTGTGGTAGAGCGTCCGCCCGGAGAGCGGAAGGTCCAGGGTTCGATCCCGGTCCGCGTCATACAAAAAGACGTTAAAAGATTGTACTTGTTGTTACCCTGTCTGGCGCTCGGCATTGGTCGGCTCGGAGTCAGTATACTGTGTCTGAGTGGGGTATCCATGTTAAACTGCGGCATGGTATCTCAGTGAGCTAGCACTATAAATCGGCATCAGTCCGGACTAGTACAAGCAGCCACACACACACATACACGTGCATGCACGTCGCTATATAAGTGCAATAATCTTGGACGCAACGTTAAACCCAATTTCACATCACCTCACCTAGTACTTGCTCAAAGGAGAAAACTACAAATACAACAATAGGATGATGTCACTGGGCATTTAAAAATCGTCTGTAACCCGTGAACCAACCTGTCCTGTAGTAGTTGAAATTCTTGTTTACAAACATCTTTTCTCTCTTTCAGGTGGCGTTGATCTTTTAGAAAGTGTGGACATAAATCGGTTTACATGGGCCGAAGATGAATTTGATGAAATTACAGTAGAGAATGTAACAGGAATTTGTTGGGATCGACCTCAGAAAGGCGGAACAATTGAAGATGACTGGGGATGGCGAATTGGACCAGACTCACAGCTCAACACGCAGATACAAAAAGTCTTCCCATGTAAGTGTTTTTCAATAGTTCTTGAGGAAATATGTGTCCTTTTATATAACTGCACGTAACTGCACGTTATATTGGATCGCATTGTTTTTAAGTATTGTAGCATTTCACAGTTGAGGTCGTGTGTTCGAGGATTTAAGGATATTTTTTTTTTGAAAATGGAAATAAAAACGAAAGGTGCGGCAGACTTTATGATGATGCGGCGGTGCCTGAGAACCAAGATTTTTTTTTTTTTGCCTTAGTTTTTAGTTTCGGCCATTACATAAATTTTTACATAGCAACTTTGTACTTTTGTAATTTATTTACAAAAATCTTTTCTTTGAATCTTTTCACTATATCAATTAGAAGACAATTATTTTATCCAAATTTGTTTTTAATTAAGTTATAATTAATTCAGTCCCCTATTGAATTCATGCAAATTACTATCTGCTCATCTGTGTTTGTTCCTGTTTTTTAGATGGATTTCCCGCTGACTTTTCCATCATTGCAACATTCAGAGCCGATGAAGGCGTTCAGGGCAAGCTATTTACTATATACAGTGACAAGGAGGCCCAGGAACTCATGTCACTGTCGGTTGGAGATGAGGTCAAATTTACGTTTACTGACAAAAAGGGCAGGCCAGGACCCGATGCATCACCCATTTTAAATATGACGCTAAATGATGGATTGTAAGTGTTTTTTGTTTTATAGACTTGCCAGCTTTTAATTTTAAGTGTAGGCTTTTTGATAATTTCATGGATATTTTTTGCTCATTGTTAATGACCATCCGAACTACAGAAGTCTTTCTTGGTTTTGGTTACCCAAGATTGCTATGTGAAAAGTATGAAGTAGAATCGGCCCCAGTTGTAACTATGCTTGTTGTGAAAGTCGACTGAAATGGACTGGATGGCGAGGCTGTGATGCTTCATTTTAAAACTCATTCATATAGTAAAAGATAACAGAGTTCGTACAGGCTTGAAAAAGCCTTGAATTTCTTGAAAAGCCTTGGTTTTTGGTGTCAACCTTGAGAAGCCTTGAACTTGTACAATATGACAAATACCTTTTAATCAAAGTATTAAATCACACAAAAATATGTACCAAAGATGTTTAAGTGAGATGTATCACAGTGAAAGAATTGTGTGCGAGAGACCCTAAAAAATTCATGGCTGACTAAATTTATATTTTGTCGGGTGAAGAATAAATCTTGTCAAACAATGTGTGATGGTCATACTGCTTTTTATGTCTTACGACGAATGTATAGTTTGCTGGATTTGATCAAATATTGACACACTCAAGTTAATAACCCAACTAAAAAAGCCTTGACAATGACAGTTGGCCTTGAAAAGCCTTTAAAAGGCCTTGAAATTTAGTGTTCCATTTCTGTTTGAACCTTGGATGATGAAAGCCCATTGGTCAAGTGGCTCCTGTGTTATATCATCGTATCACACGTGTGACAGACTGGTTGTTTGTTTGTGTTCCAGTTGGCAGCGAGTATCAATCAGTGTGAAAGGAGATGCTCTGACAGTGCTTCACAACTGTGTACAACTAGATACCATTCCACTCAAGAGAACCCTACCTGCAGAATTTGCATCCAATGGAGTCATATTTGTTGGACATCAGCTATTTGAAGAAGAAATATTTACAGTAAGTTAACAAACTGCACTTGTGAAGGTCTGGGTTAGAATTGGTCTTCAACTGCCCATACTTAATTAATTTACTGATGGGCCCTGTCTCACAAAGTGAACAGGGGGCGGTCGGGTAGCCTAGTGGTTAAAGCGTTTGCTCGTAACGCTGAGACCAGGGTTCGATTCCCAACATTGGTACAATGTGTGAAGCCCATTTCTGTTGTCCCACGTCATGATATTGCTGGAATAGTGCTAAAAGCGGCGTAAAAATATACTCACTCACTCACTCACTCATGAAGTGAATAGTATAATGACCATCATGACACTGTTTAGCATGGACTAAAACTAGTTGTGACATAAGGATAGACATCACCAAGGGCTGACTTATTTAGTTTCTTGTGGTCAGAATGGCAAAAGACAAAACAGAGACAAAAAAACAAAACAAATGAAAACCTCCAGAAATAAAAGTTACAACAAAATTACAAACTTAACTGGGTTCAAAATATAGACAGTGTCACAATTTATGATTGTCCCTCTCATCTTTACAAGAAAAACATGAATTGAGTCCACATTTATTGAACAGGGATCACAATCTTCGTTTAGTTTTAGCTTCGCCCTGATTATGTTTCTTTAGGTTAGGTTTGTCAGCTGCATACCCATGCTATGTGTTTCAATAAGTGGTAAACTTCTGAGACCTACCGTATTCGACGTAATAAGCGCCCAGGGCGCTCTCAAAATTAGAAATAGAGGTCTGTTATTAGAATATAGTTTTGGTGAAAGAGTCGACAGATCGTAAATATAATAGTTTGTGCTGACAGCCTGAAATGATACAAAAGAAAAGTCTGTGCGTATTATACACGACATATATGGAAAAGAAAAGTCTGTGCGTATTATACACGACATATATGTTTTTCCAGAATTTAATTGCCCGTAATTAAGGGTGCATATAACACACGAGTGCGTATTATACACGAATTGTGTACATTGATCAGTCGGAAGGGTGCTAATTGGGATTGTTCACTAGCCAATATATTGGCAAATATTGCCGTGGTCGCTTATTAGAGCAGGGCGCTTATTACGTCGAATACGGTATATCATTTTAGACATTCCTCCCACATCAAGCTGACATGCCATTATATAGCTGGTTAACTCTTCCATTCGGTGTTGAGCTCTCATGGGACGTAACTGTCAAATGGAATTCCTCAGATATTTTTACATGTTTGGCAAAGATCCCTCAGTGGGTGAGAGCATGGTGTCCACTAATGACCCATTATTTCTGGATTTTGCTGGGACATGCCATGTATACACTGGGTCTATTATGAGTACAGGGACTCAGTAAAATGGGGATTGAGGTCAGGCTCTGTGACATGGGTGATACGTGTCATCGTGACCTGATGGCATGTCATAATGCCATGATTATGTGTCATTGAGGGCCTGATGGCATGTCATAATGCCCTGATTACGTGTCTTTGAGGGCCTGATGGCATGTCATCATGCCCTGATTACATGTCATTGAGGGCCTGATGGCATGTCATAATGCCCTGATTACCTGTCATTGAGGGCCTGATGGCATGTCATAATGCCCTGATTACATGTCATTGAGGGCCTGATGGCATGTCATCATGCCCTGATTATGTGTCAATAAGAGCCTGATGGCATGTCATCATGCCCTGATTACGTGTCATTGAGAGCCTGTTGGCATGTCATAATGCCCTGATTACATTTCATTGAGGGCCTGATGGCATGTCATAATGCCCTGATTATGTGTCATTGAGAGCCTGATGGCATGTCATAATGCCCTGATTATGTGTCATTGAGAGCCTTTAGGCATGTGATCATGCCCCGATTACGTGTCATTGAGGGCCTGTTGGCATGTCATCATGCCCTGATTAAATGTCATTGAAGGCCTGATGGCATGTCATAATGCCCTGATTATGTGTCAATGAGAGCCTGATGGCATGTCGTCATGCCCTGATTATGTGTCATTGAGAGCCTGATCGCATGTCATTATGCCCAGACTACGTGTCATTGTGGCCTGGGGAATTATGGGTCAGAATAGCCCCCAATACTGATGTTTGTCCCACTCTGGTTCTCAATGCTTGTCTAGGGGAATATGAGGCATAATGGACCCCCTCTACCTATGGTTGTCATAAACACCAACTGGTGAGTACAAGTTGGTTACGAAGCAATCTGGATAGATTTGTGTCATCATGCCTTGTTTGTTCTGTCAACTGTCAACCATTGGTTTGATTGGCTCACATGATTATTTACTGACTGCCATGATGATATATCTGGAATATTGCTGACTACTGTGTATTAAAACATTCACTCACTCACTCACTTTGTGTGTTCCAGGGAGACCTCCAGGACCTGATCTTTGTGCCTGGAGCGGAGGCTGCGTACGACCACTGCACGTATTACACCCCAGAGTGCGACAGGCCCTTCAAGTCGAAGAAGAAGAAGGGCAAGAAGGCATCCTCTAACGCCAAAAATTCAACTGTCGTGAAACCCGACCAGACTTCTATTGCAACAGGACAGGTAACCTGAGGGAAATGATGAACAAGATAGGGATGATTACTTTGTGTTCTTGTCTCCCAGTGCTCTGTCACTTATTCCATTGGGTCAAAAATAGATCAAGTCTTAAGTATACTGGTTTTCAATGTAGAGCTAGATTATCTGTAGATTTAACCATGCTTAATTAAACTTGTAATGAGACATGTAGTGTCCACATAATTATTTAAAGATTCCTACCCACAATGACTGAGAAAACAGAACTGTTTGATAAGTATTAGCTTCTGAGGTGATGTGGACATCAAACTGGCTGTTTCAATCAGAGGTGGTTATTGAGATTTGATACCTCTGATTGACCAATCGTGTATTATCCAAATTCATGGTAGAATTATTTTTTACAAAATTATGTGTCTAAGAGAAAGATGCCTTTTACTTTGTGTCTAAATGTCTTCGTGATCCAATGACCTACAGTATGTTAACATATTTTTACCCCCTGGGGAAATGACTGAAAATAATATTATTCACTTCGCAATTTGTTTTCTATTCTGCCAAATTCAACAACTATAAGGAAAACCTTACCATTCAGTTGTTTTTAACAAGGCCAAAGTTACCTTGATTGCTTGTTGAACAAATGTAAGTCACGTTTAAAAAATGTATAAGGAAATAATTCTGCGGGGGGATATAGCGATCAGCCAGTCTGTCTGTCCGTCCGTCTGTCCGTCCGTAATCATTTCCTTTTCCGGGGCAGAATTCCAAAACCATTCAGTGTATTTGATGGAAACTTGGCAAATCTATCAGGCACATACTGAAGTGGTGCCTTTTGCTATTTTGGGATTTTTCTAATTTTTATTTTTTAAAATTTTTATGGAATGAAGTTGGACATAGACTCAATTGGGGATGGGGTTCGTTTCTGGGGCAGAATTCGAAAACCATTCAGTGTATTTGATCAAAACTTGGCAAAGCTATCAGGCACATACTGAAGTGGTGCCTTTTGATATTTTGGGATTTTTCTAATTTTAATTTTTTAAAATTTTTATGGAATGAAGTTGGACATAGACTCAATTGGGGATGGGGTTCGTTTCTGGGGCACAATTCGAAAACCATTCAGTGGGTAAACAATGTATGCTTCTTAAAGAACATTCAACTGTTGACTCATTACATACAGAATTGCACATTTACTAGTGGTTACTTTACAGACAGCTGCCCGAGGGGTTATGTCATCTTTCTGATGACTCTTGTTATGTTTAGGGTTTATAGTTATATTGATGTTTTGACTATGTTTGTTCTCTCCTTGGTTCAACAAAGCCTTCATCTGTAAAATTTTATGAGATGGCATTTTCCTAAAATCTTAACCCCAGTCTGCAACTTCAGCCACTAGTCCGGAGCCCAAGTCTTGTAAACTTCAGTCTAGTAAGCTAAGAAATATTAATTCATACAATTACACAAATATCGACTAAAAACAATTCTGAGAGCCAACTTTGGGCTTCTAAGAAAATGCTGTTAAAGGCACAGTGCACATATACATGTTTAATAGTGTTATTCCCGATGAAATATATGATTCACGCAATGCTGCAAATTAAGTATATCAATACATATCGTATTGTGAAGAAAGTATCGTTATGTGTATCTTTTATAGGAGATAGTCGTATCGAGACATCTCTAATAACCACTTTGAACTTATTCAGTTTTTTCTTTTTTACCCCAGCTACCTGGACTGAGAGTGGATTTTGGATCAGCTGATCTCGAGGAGGTCGCCTACAGATTTGTAAGTCTCTACAGCTACAAAGTTGATGATTGCCTTTTGTTTTTATAACCCTACCACCCATAGTTGCCCATTTCTGGTGTCCCCCTGCCGGGATGTTGCTGGAAGTTAGCTACAGCGGTGTAAAGTACAACTAACTGAAAAGGTGAACTGGACCTTTAAGTTCCTTGTAGAGTACAGCCCGGTGAGGTTCTCAGTACCTCGTGCTTGTTGAAAAACTGAGAGTAATGGGTATAGGGTGGTGGGACTGCTACATGGCTGATTGCGTGTCATTGTTCCCTGACTACTTGGGAGACTGAGCCTGCTTTCGGTCTTGAGTAGGGACAGCAGGGTAGCCTGGTGTTTAAAACGTTTGTTCGTAACGTCAAAGCCGTGGATTCAATTTCTCACACCGAAGACCCGGGTTCGATTCCTGACATGGGTACAATGTATGAAGCCCATTTCTGGTGTCCCCCTGCCGGGATGTTGCTGGTAGTTAGCTACAGCGGTGTAAAGTACAACTAACTGAAAAGGTGAACTGGACCTTTAAGTTCCTTGTAGAGTACAGCCCGGTGAGGTTCTCAGTACCTCGTGCTTGTTGAAAAACTGAGAGTAATGGGTATAGGGTGGTGGGACTGCTACATGGCTGATTGCGTGTCATTGTTCCCTGACTACTTGGGAGACTGAGCCTGCTTTCGGTCTCTAGTAGTGAGTGAGTGAGTGAGTATGGTTTTACGCTGCTTTTAGCAATATTCCAGCAATTTCACGGCGGGGGACACCAGAAATGGGCTTCACACATTGTACCCATGTCGGGAATCGAACCTGGGTCTTCGCCGCAAGGAGCGAACGCTTTAACCACTAGGCTACCCGACCGCCCTCGGTCTCTAGTAGGGACAGCAGGGTAGCCTGGTGTTTAAAACGTTTGTTCTTAACGTCAAAGCCGTGGATTCAATTTCTCACACCAAAGACCCGGGTTCGATTCCCGACATGGGTACAATGTGTGAAGCCCATTTCCTGTGTCCCCTGTCGGATATTACTGGAATATTGCTAAAATCGGCGTAAAACCCAACTCACGCACCCATTCATTAAATTTTAAAATGAAGTTGACTTTGAAGATATTAATTTTAAGGCCCATCATGGCACAAGAAAATATTGATATGCATTTCTTTTAATTCATTACAATATTTGGCGTAAGCTTTTAAATATACATTCCAAAGGTCGTGTGGGACATCATTACATTATGTTGTATACTACTCAAAAGAAGTAAAGGATCACCTGATTCTTTCATATTACTATAGTTAATCTCTCATGTCATGACAGATTAACTTTACCATTATGAAAGAATCGGGTGATCCTTAACTTCTTTTGAGTAGTATATTTGTGTGGGTCACTGATGTATTTGTTCATCATACAGGGCCCCCCTGGACCTCGAGGACAACGAGGACCCAATGGTGCCCCAGGTGTCACTGGAGACCCCGTAAGTACATTTACATACAGCCCATCAGGCCTTGATAAAAGTTTAATCAGAGCTTATTGTAAACTTAGAATTTCTTTGCACAATTTTAATGTAAATGTATGTCATATGTCCAAAGACGGTGATATTGTGAACTCTATTTGTACAAACTGTTCATCTGGAGAAGTAGAGGATGAATACCATGTCTTACTTATATGTGAAATGTATTCCCATTTAAGTTATATATTTCTCCCCATGTTGCAAGGTATTTTTAAAGACCGTCAGTTAATGATAAACCTGCTAAACTCTGAAAATCCTGATATGATCCGTGCTGTTTCTGTATTTTTAAAACATGTCTTTGTAATGAGAAATGTGTAACTTGATTTAAAATCTAATCATGTACATCACATGACAAATGTTAATATCCAATCTGCATTGTACTTTGGGCCTTGATGCCTAAATTACTGAATAAACTGTCTGTCTATAAAGCCTTGATATCTGTCTGAATAGAAGAATAGCGGGGTAAAGCTTGGTGCCCCATCAAAAAGTTTGAGGTGCCCCTTTAAAAGATTGTGTTGTCACTTTAAAAGTATTGAGGTGTCCATCTTAAAGGCTTGAGGTGCCTCTTTAAAGGTTTGTGGTATTCCCTTTAAACATATTGAGGTGTCCATTTAAAAGGCTTGAGGTGTCCCTTGAAATGTTTTAAAGTGCCCCTTTAAAGTATTATGATATCACTTATAAAGTATTGAGGTGACCCATCTGAAGACTTGAGGTGTCCCTTTAAAGGTTTGTGGTATTACTTTAAAAGTATTGAGGTGTCCATCTAAAAGGCTTGAGGTGTCACTGTAAATGTTTTGAGTTGTCCATTTAAAAGGACCCAGATGTCACTTCAAAAGATGTTAGGTGCCCCTTTAAAAGGCCTAACCTTTAACTGTAAGAGGACTGATTACATTTGACTGTACTCATCAGCTCTCTGTGCCATCTCTATTTCATTCCATTATGGTGACGCCTTTCTCTTTATGAAAGCTTGCATGTTTTTGAAGAAATAATTGAATTTTAGCTGGATGAATTGATGACAACACCCCACAGTACAAGCTTGTTACCTTCATTCATTTCAAGTAATTATGTCATGCCATAGGGAAGAAACTTTAACCTTTAATTGCAAGGATGTAGTCATGTTTTTCTGAAGAAAAGTGTTTGGATTCTATTCAGTGTGAGTTTAAATCATGAATAGACGTTAAAGTCAATTAACAAGACATTTGAAAGGGGCTATGTTGAACATGATATAGGTTTTGTCCGATGACGTTTTTCGAGGTGGGTGGTATAACAGCTTATATTACACTGTCCCTTCTAAGACCGCCTCCGTGGTCTTGTGGTAGAGCGTCCGCCCGGAGAGCGGAAGGTCCGGGGTTCGATCCCGGGCCGCGTCATACAAAAAGACGTTAAAAGATTGTACTTGTTGTTACCCTGTCTGGCGCTCGGCATTAAGGGGCTAAAACAAGGACTGGTCGGCTCGGAGTCAGTATACTGTGTCTGAGTGGGGTATTCATGTTAAACTGCGGCATGGTATCTCAGTGAGCTAGCACTATAAATCGGCATCAGTCCGGACTAGTACAAGCAGCCACACACACACATACACGTGCATGCACGTCGCTATATAAGTGCAATAATCTTGGACGCGACGTTAAACCCAATTTCACCTCACCTCACCTGTCCCTTCTAAAGCACAGTCATGCAATAAATGAAAGAGTGAAAGAAAAGTCCTATTTGTATTGTTTCTTTCAATGAAAAGTCAAATGTTTCCTTCTAATGCCATCTGAATCAAACTACAATGTGAAAAGACTGTTCTCACAATTTGGAGGGTATAATTTACGTTTGTGACATTTTGAGTTAGTTGAAATTAAGACAGTCTAAATAGCTTCTGTGGAAGAAATGTTCTTTGAGCGACTGCTGAATGCTGTCTGCTTGTTCTCCAGGGTCTGTCTGGACGTGATGGTATTCCTGGATCTAATGGCGTTCCTGGGCCTCCAGGGCATGTCTTTGTCATTCCAGTAAGTACATATACCAAATATCTGTGCATATATTTCACTCTATTATTAATGACTGGTCGCTACTGATTACTGACTACAATACATTGACTCTTTTACTCTGTAATTAATGACTGGCCCCTACAGATTACTGACTACAATACATTGACTCTTTTACTCTGTAATTAATGACTGGCCCCTACAGATTACTGACTACAATACATTGACTCTTTTACTCTGTAATTAATGACTGGCCCCTACAGATCACTGACTACAATACATTGACTCTTTTACTCTGTAATTAATGACTGGTCCCTATACAGATTACTGACTACAATACATTGACTCTTTTACTCTGTAATTAATGACTGTCCCCTACAGATCACTGACTACAATACATTGACACTTTTACTCTGTAATTAATGACTGTCCCCTACAGATCACTGACTACAATACATTGACTTTTTTACTCTGTAATTAATGACTGGCCCCTAGAGATTACTGTCTTCAATACATTGACTCTTTTACTCTGTAATTATGACTGTCCCCTACAGATCACTGACTACAATACATTGACTTTTTTACTCTGTAATTAATGACTGGCCTCTAGAGATTACTGACTTCAATACATTGACTCTTTTACTCTGTAATTAATGACTGGTCCCTACAGATCACTGACTACAATACATTGACTTTTTTACTCTGTAATTAATGACTGGCCCCTAGAGATTACTGACTTCAATACATTGACTCTTTTACTCTGTAATTAATGACTGGTCCCTACAGATTACTGACTACAATACATTGACTCTTTTACTCTGTAATTAATGACTGCATGGCCCCTAGAGATTACTGACTTCAATACATTGACTCTTTTACTCTGTAATTAATGACTGGCCCCTAGAGATTACTGACTTCAATACATTGACTCTTTTACTCTGTAATTAATGACTGGTCCCTACAGATTACTGACTTCACTATACTGTAGAACATGGATATAACGAACTACAAGAGACCAGAGAAATCAGTTTGTTATGTACGTTGTTCATTGTGTGTTTTCTTTTGTAAATGTGAGAGTAGATATGTCCCCCCTGAACATTTGTTCATTTGATATACTGGGAGTATTGGTTCCCAGAGCTCCAGATAAGCTTTTGGTGTTGTGGGTATTTTACCCATGCATTTTAAAATCATTGGGTATCAGTAATTCTATCTGGGTATTCAAATTTCTGTTACCCACTAGTTTTTACACATGTGGGTATTTAAGTTAAATATTTAAAAACACTTTCATCTAGTCCCTGCAAATTGGTGTCGTGTGGGTTCGAGAGCTTTATAGGACTCAAAAATACCACGATACTTCCTCAAGAAAGTGTCATGGCTGCTCATGATATTAATCACTGGATTGTCTGGTCCAGACTCGATTATTTACAGACCGCCGTCATATAGCTGGAATATTGCTGAGTACGGCGTTAAAAAACAAAGCAACCAACCAAATCATCGCTCAGCATATTAGCAGAGATCACTATGTTGTGTCCACCGTTCACTCTCTCCATGTAATGTACTGTGTTGTACATTGTTGTACATTATGTTGTAAGTTGTACATTGTGTTGTAGATGCAGTATGATCAGAAAGCAGGAGGGGACCAAGCTCAAGCATTCAGGACCATGCTCGCTCAACATATGGTGAGGCCATTACCTGAGTGTGGCTATAGAGTGTATATTGTTTGATTAATTTTGATGAAAAAATAAATTATGACGAGTTATTGACATTGCTCATTCATCAGATTCGGTTGTCATGTTTACTTTATGAAGCTCTTTGAATTATTGCCTCCTACAGCTTAGAAACTAATCATGTTACCAAATAACTTGACATGGCTTGGATATAAAAGTCTGTTTCTGAAAAAAATACTTGTCACCGGATTATAAAAAAAATGTTTTGAGGTAAAATAAATAGTGTTTGACCCTCCACCCATGCATGTTTTGAGCGCCAGTGTATAAAATGGTCAGTCCCTGAGAAAATTGGAAAGACTGGAAAATAGTACCTATGATGCTACATTTGTTTCCTTTACAGCTGGCCATGAGGGGAGCATCAGGACCCCAGGGTATGAGCGGTCTCACCGGACGTGCGGTGAGTTCTTGAAGCTTTCAGACCTTAATGTGTTAATGGTAACATTAAGTGAAGCATTTACACCTTCATGTGTTAATGGTAACACTACTTGAAGCATTTATACCTTAATGTGGTAATGGTAACACTACCTGAAGCATTTACACCTGAATTTGTTAATGGTAACATTAAGTGAAGGATTTATACCTTCATGTGTTAATAGTAACACTACTTGAAGCATTTACTCCTTAATGTGTTAATGGTAACACTACTTGAAGCATTTACACCTTAATGTGTTAATGGTAACATAAAGTGAAGCATTTATACCTTAATGTGTTAATGGAACGACTACTTGAAGCATTTATACCTTAATGTGTTAATAGTAACACTACTTGAAGCATTTACTCCTTAATGTGTTAATGGTAACACTACTTGAAGCATTTACACCTTAATGTGTTAATGGTAACATAAAGTGAAGCATTTATACCTTAATGTGTTAATGGAACGACTACTGGAAGCATTTATACCTTCATGTGTTAATGGAACGACTACTTGAAGCATTTATACCTTCATGTGTTAATTGTAACACAACTTGAAGGATTTACACCTTAATGTGTTAATGGTAACACTAATTGAAGCATTTACACCTAAATGTGGTAATGGAACCACTACTTGAAGCATTTACACCTTAATGTGTTAATGGTAACACTACCTGAAGCATTTATACCTTAATGTGATAATGGAACGACTACTTGAAGCATTTATACCTTAATGTGGTAATGGTATCATAAAGTGAAGCATTTATACCTTCATGTGTTAATGGTAACACTACTTGAAGCATTTACTCCTTAATGTGTTAATGGTAACACTACCTGAAGCATTTACACCTTAATGTCTTAGTAGTAACACTACTTGAAGCATTTACACCTTAATGTGTTAATGGTAACACTGCTTGAAGCATTTATACCTTAATGTGTTAATGGTAACACTACTTGAAGTATTTATACCTTAATGTGTTAATAGTAACATAAAGTGAAGCATTTATACCTTCATGTGGTAATGGAATGACTACTTGAAGCATTTATACCTTCATGTGTTAATTGTTACACTACTTGAAGTATTTATACCTTAATGTGTTAATGGTAACACTACTTGAAGCATTTACACCTTCATGTGGTAACGGAACCACTACTTGAAGCATATACCTTCATGTGTTAATGGAACCACTACTTGAAGCATTTATACCTTAATGTGTTAATGGTAACACAACTTGAAGCATTTATATCTAAATGTGTTAATGGTAACACTACTTGAAGAATTTATACCTTAATGTGTTAATGGTAACATAAGGTGAAGCATTTATACCTTCATGTGTTAATGGTAACACTACTTGAAGAATGTATACCTTAATGTGTCAATGGAACGACTACTTGAAGCATTTATACCTTAATGTGTTAATGGAACCACTACTTGAAGCATTTACACCTTAATGTGTTAATGGTAACACAACTTGAAGCATTTATACCTTCATGTGGTAATGGAACGACTACTTGAAGCATCCATATCTAAATGTGTTAATGGTAACACAACTTGAAGCATTTACACCCTAATGTGATAATGGAACCACTACTTGAAGCATTTATACCTTAATGTGATAATGGTAACACAACTTGAAGCATTTATACCTTTGTGTGTTCATGAACACATGCTAATGCTATTTGAAGCATTTATACCTTTGTGTTTTCATGGAAACACTACTTTAAGCATCAACACTTTTGTAAACTCTACTTAAAGGATTCATGTTTTGTATGTTCATGGTACTTGAAATATTGACAACACGTGTCCATGGTACTTGAAGCATTGACTACATGTCTTCATGGTACTTGAAGCATAGACTACATGTCTTCATGGTACTTGAAGTATTGACAACACGTGTTCATGGTACTTGAAGTATTGACTACATGTCTTCATGGTCCTTGAAGCATAGACTACATGTCTTCATGGTACTTGAAGTATTGACTACATGTCTTCATGGTACTTGAAGCATTGACTACGTGTTCATGGTACTTGAAGCATTGACAACATGTGTTCACTGTACTTGAAGCATTAACTACATGTTTTTTATGGTACTTGAAGCATTGACTATGTGTGTTCATGGTACTTGAAGCATTGACTACGTGTTCATGGTACTTGAAGCATTGACTTCGTGTGTTCATGGTACTTGAAGCATTGACTTTGTGTGTTCATGGTACTTGAAGCATCGACTACGTGTGTTCATGGTACTTGAAGCATTGACTATGTGTTGATGGTACTTGAAGCATTGACTATGTGTGTTCATGGTACTTGAAGCATTGACTATGTGTGTTCATGGTACTTGAAGCATCGACTACGCGTTCATGGTACTTGAAGCATTGACTATGTGTTCATGGTACTTGAAGCATTGGCTTCATGTGTTCATTGTGTTTGGGAACGCTGTTGATTTCAACACCATTTATACCTTGAAACTTTTATTGTGGCATTGTGTTATGCTGCCTTCCTGAGCATAAATGTCCCAATGTGTATTTGCAGGGTCCACCCGGTATGGAGGGAGAGAAGGGAGACCCTGGCAACCCCGGAGAACAGGTGAGGCTGGAGTAATTGACCTGTAACAAGGGCTCCAGATAAGTAATCCGTGTTATGGGCTTCAGACGGTTAAGAAACATATGTAGTTTTCTTGCTAGTCACAAGAACAACCATAAAACATCTCACTCACTTATAAAAGACAGCTTTATCTTAAAAAACAGTATCGTTCTAGTGGGAGTAGTCATGATAAACATGGCGGTCCGAAGACGTATGACATCCGAAAACATATGATCCGACGATATTTGATCCATTGAGAATTTTCTCCCCTGTTATTATACACATAGGGTATTGATAGTTTCCTTTGGGTATTCAATATTATATAAATCCTTTGGGTGTGGTTTATTGGGTATTTTCAAACCAGTGAGTAGACGGTTTCTTCAATCAATTCTGCATATATTGCTGTTTTCTTGCTGTGACTTCTAATTTGCACATGTCGCATAGCTCACAACAGTGATAGGCATGCCTCGGCTACCATAAGCAAGACAGCACTTCGTGTTTTATTCCCAACAGTATATTCATGTATACATGATGCCTGCATTTGATCAGTAATTATAAATAAAGATCTGAAGATCTGAAAAGACATACAGGTATGTTGAAAAGGCTACTTTGGGTAATTATGCAGTGTTACTATGTTATTGTGTTTTTGAACTTTTTCATGCATACCGTATTCGACGTAATAAGCGCCCTGCTCTAATAAGCGCCCACGGTGATATTTGCTAATATATTGGCCAGTGAACAATCCCAATTAGCACTCCTTCCGATAGATCAGTGTACACAACACTTATATATTCACATATAATACGAACTCGTTTGTTATATGCACCCTCAATTATGGGCAATTAAATTCCGAAAATATGTATCTCTCGTATATAAACATTTTAGGCTGTCTGTATAAACCACGAAATTTATCTTTCGATTTTTTTTCACCAAAATAATGTTCTAATAAGAGCCCCCTATTTCTAATTTTGAGAGCGCCCTGGGCGCTTATTACGTCGAATACGGTATTTGAATGCAAGATAGCAAGATTCATTGGGTTATAGTGATCTATATGCACAGCTTACCTGGAGCTCTGTATAAGGCCACAATACACTTAATACCTGGCCTCTGAATGTCCTTTTGACTGGTCAGCCTGCCAGTAGAGGCCACTAGCACCATCAATGTGTATTTCTTCAGGCTTGACGAAAATAATTGAAAAACATACTGAAAGCAAATGTTGGCTTGTAGCCAAGGGGTTACTCCAATACTTATCAAATTTTGATTTAAAAAAAAATATTATAATTGTATTTTTGAATTATGTTAACAGACTCAGTGGAAGAAATGTCTAGCCAATAGTTGTGACTTTTATTGATGGAGGACACTGCATGTATGGAAATGTTGTGAGAGATTGTGATGTATGTTTTTATTTCCCGACAGGGTCCAGTGGGATCTCACGGTATGCCTGGCATGCCAGGTCCTCAGGGAAAGAGGGTCAGTACAAGTTTTATTCCATTTTTAGTGTATACATGAATTTGTTCCTATTATTTAACCAATATTCATTCAATTTTATCAAATCACCCCTGCAAAGCAATAACATTAATTATGACTATTATAACATAATTTGGCAATTTTTTGGTTTCCAGCTTGGGATTTTTTACTGACATTGCTTCAGACTTAGGGCCGAATGACGGCCTCCTGGTCTCGATATATCCATGTAGTGTCACAAAATTGATTTCTGTTATTGTTTCATTTCATTTGGATCCAACCCAACTGGTTGTAGTACAAGATGTTGCATATGATTTATGAATGTAATTCCAGTCAATAAACTTGCATTGCAGGGCAAATCTGGCCGGGATGGTGAGAGAGGCATGATGGGACCACCAGGAGATAAGGTAGATATACACATGACATATTGTTGAAACACAAGGTGTGTAACAGATTTATAGAATGGAGGGAAGGCTGCGTTGAAGAGTGGGGAGTAAAGGATATGAGAGGGGACTATGGAAAAGGGGATATATGCCGGGGAAGATACAGATAATGGTTAAATTGATATGTAACTAGGAATATAATAGATTTATATAGTGGAGGGAAGGTTAGATTGAAGATGGATTACTTAGGGGAGTTACAGGAGGATGGTATATGGAAAAAAGTGGCTATATGCAGGTGTATATGGATTTAGGGTAAGGTAGATACAGATATTTGTTAACTTGATATGTAACTAGGTATATAATAGATTTATATGGTGGAGGGAAGGTTAGATTGAAGATGGATTACTTAGGGGAGTTACAGGAGGATGGATTATGGAAAAAAGTGGCTATATGCAGGTGTATATGGATTTAGGGTAAGGTAGATACAGATATTTGTTAACTTGATATGTAACTAGGTATATAATAGATTTATATGGTGGAGGGAAGGTTAGATTGAAGATGGATTACTTAGGGGAGTTACAGGAGGATGGAATATGGAAAAAAGTGGCTATATGCAGGTGTATATGGATTTAGGGTAAGGTAGATACAGATATTTGTTAACTTGATATGTAACTAGGTATATAATAGATTTATATGGTGGAGGGAAGGTTAGATTGAAGATGGATTACTTAGGGGAGTTACAGGAGGATGGAATATGGAAAAAAGTGGCTATATGCAGGTGTATATGGATTTAGGGTAAGGTAGATACAGATATTTGTTAACTTGATATGTAACTAGGTATATAATAGATTTATATGGTGGAGGGAAGGTTAGATTGAAGATGGATTACTTAGGGGAGTTACAGGAGGATGGAATATGGAAAAAAGTGGCTATATGCAGGTGTATATGGATGTGTAAGGTAGATACAGATAATGGTTAAGTTGATATCTAACTAGGTGTATGATAGATTTATAGAATGGAGGGAAACTTAAACTGGAGATGGATCAATAGGTGGAGATATCGAGTACATGGATATAAGGCAAGGTAGATGCAGACAATGGTTAAATTTCTATATATAACTTGGTATATAATAGATTTATGTAGTGGAGGGAATATTAGATTGAAGGTGGATTGATTAGATTTAGTGGGATGGAAAAAGGGGATGTATACAGTATAAGGATGTAAGGAAGGTAGCTACAGCTAATCTTAATTGCTATATAACTAGGTAGGGTATATAATAGATTTGTTGGGAAGGTTCGATTGCATAAGGGGAGTTATCGGGGGATGGAGATATGAATAGGTGGTAGATAAAAGGTAGACATGGATATAAGGTAGATATGGATATAAAGTAGATATGGATATAATGTAGACATAGTAGATTTGGATATAAAGTATAAATGGAGTAGATATGGTTATAAGGGAGATATAGATGGTTATAATATTGTTGTGTGAAATATAACATCTGTTAATTTAAGAAAGTATAACTTGAATAGAGTAATATATTTTATACATGATTCGTGGATAAAGAACCATAGAAAATGATTTATATCTTTGTGTGTATTGTTATTTCAATATTTGTAAGTGTAATTTTGTCTTCTATAGGGTTTGACTGGCTTCCCCGGAATCCCCGGCATGCCTGGAGAGAAGGGACATCGCGTGAGTACAAGTGATCACCTCGCTGTAGCAATCGCTAGACACGGCTTCACAACGACCATATTGTCCTGGTTATATGGAAGCATTTCATGTTATCACATGGAACATTTACTGATTATCAGATGGAAGTGTTACATGTTATCATATGGAATACTTAGTATTACCACATGGAACAATTACTGGTTATCAGATTGAAGCATTACATGTTATCACTTGGAACATTTACTGATTATCAGATGGAAGTGTTACATGTTATCATATGGAATACTTAGTATTACCACATGGAACAATTACTGGTTATCAGATTGAAGCATTACATGTTATCACTTGGAACATTTACTGATTATCAGTTGGAAGTGTTACATGTTATCATATGGAATACTTAGTATTACCACATGGAACAATTACTGGTTATCAGATTGAAGCATTACATGTTATCACATGGAACAATTACTGGTTATCAGATTGAAGCATTACATGTTATCACATAGAACAATTGCTGATTATCACACAGGTGCATAATCATGTTATCGAAAAATTGCTAATTATCATATAGATACATTGCATTTTATCACATCGACCATAACTAGTTACCACATGATTGCCTGCACTCCTGCCATCTGTGTATGGTTCAATGTTATGTTTGTACTGCAGGGTATCCCTGGCAACTCCGGAGAGATTGGACCAATGGGCAGTGATGGCGACCGGGTAAGTGATACAGACATCTAACAGTGAGTGAGCGAGTTGGGTTTAACGCCGCTTTTAACAGTATTCCAGTTATATCGCGGCGTGTCAGCTTAATGTGGGAGGAAAGTCCGAAGTGATGCAGGTGTCAGACGTTTACCACTTCGGTGAAACCCACGAGCACGGGTATGGTGCTGACAAACCTAGAAACATTATTGGGGAGAACCGGGATTCGAACCCACAATCATAGATTTCTGGCATGTCCAAGGGATGCAACTCTGCATAGCGAATCGCGGCGCCTTAGACGACTTGGCCCCCCGTGCCCCCTAGACATCTAACAGCTGCTCCAGCTCCTCCATGGTATATGAGTAATAGTCAACATCAGCATGTGGATTAATAGTATGGAATACCACCATAGGTTACACATTTCTCCCAAGGATGAAAGATGTTTAGAAATAAACGATATTTTCACCCAAATGTCAAATGTATGTTCACACAGGATACCTATTATGGGTGTGAGTCACACATGTGTTGTTGTAATTCCTTGTGTGTGCCAGGCAATCTTGTCGTGTGTGTGACATTGTGTGTTTGTCTTCCAGGGAGATCCTGGCGAGCCAGGACTGGTCGGAGCACAGGGAGATCTGGTGAGTGTCATGAAAACATTCAACACTAAATGTTGATAAAGCCATAAACGTGGTTAAGGGAAGCTTTATTCAAGATGTAGTCTAAGACCATACACATATAATTAATATGATAACGCAAACCAACCTGAATTTACTATTTAGTCTGCTAAGGACCATACAGATATTATTGTAATTATTCCAGAAGATCTGAATTTACAATTTAGTCTGCTAAGGACCATACAGATATCATTGTAATTATTCCAGAAGATCTGAATTTACAATTTAGTCTGCTAAGGACCATACAGATATCATTGTAATTATTCTAGAAGATCTGAATTTACTATTTAGTCTGCAAAGGACCATACAGATATTATTGTAATTATTCCAGAAGATCTGAATTTACAATTTAGTCTGCTAAGGACCATACAGATATTATTGTAATTATTCCAGAAGATCTGAATTTACAATTAAGTCTGCTAAGAACCATACAGATATTATTGTAATTATTCAAGATGATCTGAATTTACTATTTAGTCGGCTAAGGACCATACAGGTATTATTGTAATTATTCCAGAAGATCTGAATTTACTATTTAGTCTGCTAAGGACCATACAGATATTATTGTAATTATTCCAGATCTGAATTTACTATTTAGTCGGCTAAGGACCATACAGATATTATTGTAATTATTCCAGAAGATCTGAATTTACTATTTAGTCTGCTAAGGACCATACAGATATTATTGTAATAATTCCAGAAGATCTGAATTTACAATTTAGTTTGCTAAGGACCATACAGATATTATTGTAATTATTCCAGAAGATCTGAATTTACTATTTAGTCTGCTAAGGACCATACAGATATCATTGTAATTATTCCAGAAGATCTGAATTTACAATTTAGTCTGCTAAGGACCATACAGATATCATTGTAATTATTCTAGAAGATCTGAATTTACTATTTAGTCTGCAAAGGACCATACAGATATTATTGTAATTATTCCAGAAGATCTGAATTTACAATTTAGTCTGCTAAGGACCATACAGATATTATTGTAATTATTCCAGAAGATCTGAATTTACAATTAAGTCTGCTAAGAACCATACAGATATTATTGTAATTATTCCAGAAGCTCTGAATTTACAATTTAGTTTGCTAAGGACCATACAGATATTATTGTAATTATTCAAGATGATCTGAATTTACTATTTAGTCGGCTAAGGACCATACAGGTATTATTGTAATTATTCCAGAAGATCTGAATTTACTATTTAGTCTGCTAAGGACCATACAGATATTATTGTAATTATTCCAGATCTGAATTTACTATTTAGTCGGCTAAGGACCATACAGATATTATTGTAATTATTCCAGAAGATCTGAATTTACTATTTAGTCTGCTAAGGACCATACAGATATTATTGTAATAATTCAAGAAGATCTGAATTTACAATTTAGTTTGCTAAGGACCATACAGATATTATTGTAATTATTCAAGATGATCTGAATTTACTATTTAGTCAGCTAAGGACCATACAGGTATTATTGTAATTATTCCAGAAGATCTGAATTTACTATTTAGTCTGCTAAGGACCATACAGATATTATTGTAATTATTCCAGATCTGAATTTACAATTTAGTTTGCTAAGGACCATACAGATATTATTGAAATTATTCCAGAAGATCTGAATTTACTATTTAGTCTGCTAAGGACCATACAGATATTATTGTAATTATTCCAGAAGATCTGAATTTACTATTTAGTTTGCTAAGGACCATACAGATATTATTGAAATTATTCCAGAAGATCTGAATTTACTATTTAGTCTGCTAAGGACCATACAGATATTATTGTAATTATTCCAGAAGATCTGAATTTACTATTTAGTCTGCTAAGGACCATACAGATATTATTGTAATTATTCAAGATGATCTGAATTTACAATTTAGTTTGCTAAGGACCATACAGATATTATTGTAATTATTCCAGAAGATCTGAATTTACTATTTAGTCTGCTAAGGACCATACAGATATTATTGTAATTATTCCAGAAGATCTGAATTTACTATTTAGTCTGCTAAGGACCATACAGATATCATTGTAATTATTCCAGAAGATCTGAATTTACTTTTTAGTCAGCTAAGGACAGTTTGCTTCTGGATGTTTTTGCTTTTCTGTGTTACCTCACCTACAGGAATTGATTCATTGTGATTAGGGAAGTAAATGAATTCAATAACAAGTATGTAACGGGTAGTTTGTTTCTGTGTTTGTGTGCTGCCTATGGAAGTTGCAATGTCTTTTTGTGTTTCAGGGACCACGTGGATTCATGGGACCAAGAGGCCGTCCAGGACCAGTTGGTCCCCCTGTAAGTATAAACTCATACCTTATACCTAATGAGTGAATGAGTTAGGTTTAACGGCGCTTTTAACAGTATTCCAGTCATATAGCGGCGTGTAAGCTAAATGTGGGAGGAAAGCCCGAGGTGATGCAGGTCTCAGACGTTTACCACTTTGGTGAAACCCACGAGCACGGGTATGGTGCTGACAAACCTAGAAACATAATCGGGGCGAACCGGGATTCGAACCCACAATCATAGATTTCTGGCGTGCCCAAGGGATGCGACTGCACAGTGTATCGTGGTGCCTTAGACGACTGGGCCACCCGTGCCCCCTTATACCTAAATATATATTGATTTTATACTTGCTGCCTCCCTAAAGAGGAAAATGTAAATTTTATTAAAATTGACTTGTTATTTTTTACATTTTGAGAAAAATGTGTTAGGATTCCTCTTCAAGTATAACAACTGAAATACATGTATTAAAGAAACAGGACAGTGTCTGTATTTCTGTGTCATTTTTGTATTATGCATATATTCTGCATTGCAAAAACATGATTAAAGGAATCGTATCTATGTATATGTTCTTACAAGTGGCCCAGTGAGGCTCACAGGGTATTGGCTCACAGCTGATTATAAGTAAGATTATATTGATAATACTTACTCTTCCTACAGAGTTCGCGTAGCCTAGTGGTTAAAGCGTTCGCTCGTCACGCCGAAGACCCGGGTTCGATTCCCGACATGGGTACAATGTGTGAAGCCCATTTCTGGTGTCCCCCGCCGTGATATTGCTGGAATATTGCTAAAAGCGGCATAAAACCTCACTCACTCCTACAGAGTTCCATCTACATGTCGCTATGGTAACATGATGGTTCTGTGTGATTGACGTACCACCTCTTATGTTCCAGGGTATGCCAGGGTCGGAGGGCTCAATGGGATTCAAGGGAGACAGGGTAAGTTACTCAGCAAACTGTTGATGCATTGCAAGCTGTCATGGCCTGATGGCAATACGCCGATGCAACGTAAAAATGTCAAAACGTTTGCTATTTATACCACAATACGTCATGCAAGGTAAAAATGTCAAAACGTTGACTATTTATACCACAATATGTCATGCAAGGTAAAAATGTCAAAATGTTTACTATTTATACCACAATACACATGCAAGGTAAAAATGTCAAAACGTTTACTATTTATACCACAATATGTCATCAAGGTAAAAATGTCAAAGCGTTTACTATTTATACCACAATACGTCATGCAAGGTAAAAATGTCAAAACGTTTACTAATTATACCACAATACACATGCAAGGTAAAAATGTCAAAAAGTTAACTACCATATTTTCTTGAGTATAGTGCGCACAGCTGTGTAGAAGGGGGTGCTCATTATACACGCAATAATGAGTTTTAATGTTTTTTCCCCAAACGGAAGGACATTACTGTGAGCACGTAACTTCGGAAATACCATGTCAACAAATCCATACTGAAGTCCGCAAATGAATCATGTAATTACACTGTCTGGCTAAAAAAGTGTTCTTTGTATATCTGGACTTATGTTTGTAACTTATATCATTAATTTTATTAAAAATTCCTTTTAATATTGTTTTAATTAATTTTGGCAAAATCGTGTGTTATGCGATCGGAAGATCGCACAACTCACCGTTATTAACAGCAACCACGATCAGATTACCGCTATTGACGCCTTGAATCAAACTTTAGTTGACAGAGAATGGATACATATATCATAAATGCCATACTTTGACTCGTTAAAAGTCATATTTGTTATAGTTTGACGATTCTATGTCAACACATAGTTCTTGCGATCATGTTCGCGGGAGCCTCGACGGTGACTGGTCAAACTGGTTCCATGTGAAAAATAATAACCGGCAATAGCAATCAGCTGCTTTGCTTAGGGTTATAATTATTTTAAATATATTTAGTAAAAGCTGCAACTAAAATAACAAGATATTGGAATATATTATTCCTGATAAAAAAATAGTTTCAGATACAATTTTTGCCGATCCTTGCATTAAAATCCTATAAAGTTATATCATTGGGTGTGTCTTGACTGAATCACCGATAGATTCCAAGAAAATGTGTGTTTTCTCCTTCTGTACTGTGTATAATGTAGTGTTTGTGTGTTCCAGGGATCCATCGGTGCCCCAGGAGCCCCTGGCAACTCTGGACCCACAGGACCAACAGTGAGTGCATCATACAGGTCCCCAGTGTCCCCGGCTTGTGTACTAGACGACTAACAGTTCCAGTTTTGTCTGTTGTCCCTAGCAAACATTGAGCAGTAAACATGTCAGCTAATTTCCCTTAAATGGGTCAACAGTCATCTCACAGTTCCAGTTTTGTCTGTTGTCCCTAGCAAACATTGAGCAGTAAACATGTCAGCTATTTCCCTTAAATGGGTCAACAGTCATCTCACAGTTCCAGTTTTGTCTGTTGTCCCTAGCAAACACTGAGCAGTAAACATGTCAGCTATTTCCCTTAAATGGGTCAACAGTCATCTCACAGTTCCAGTTTTGTCTGTTGTCCCTAGCAAACATTGAGCAGTAAACATGTCAGCTATTTCCCTTAAATGGGTCAACAGTCATCTCACAGTTCCAGTTTTGTCTGTTGTCCCTAGCAAACATTGAGCAGTAAACATGTCAGCTATTTCCCTTAAATGGGTCAACAGTCATCTCACAGTTCCAGTTTTGTCTGTTGTCCCTAGCAAACATTGAGCAGTAAACATGTCAGCTATTTCCCTTAAATGGGTCAACAGTCATCTCACAGTTCCAGTTTTGTCTGTTGTCCCTAGCAAACATTGAGCAGTAAACATGTCAGCTATTTCCCTTAAATGGGTCAACAGTCATCTCACAGTTCCAGTTTTGTCTGTTGTCCCTAGCAAACATTGAGCAGTAAACATGTCAGCTATTTCCCTTAAATGGGTCAACAGTCATCTCACAGTTCCAGTTTTGTCTGTTGCCCCTAGCAAATATTGAGCAGTAAACAAGTCAGCTATTTCCCTTAAATGGGTCAACAGTCATCTCACAGTTCCAGTTTTGTCTGTTGCCCCTAGCAAACATTGAGCAGTAAACATGTCAGCTATTTCCCTTAAATGGGTCAACAGTCATCTCACAGTTCCAGTTTTGTCTGTTGTCCCTAGCAAACATTGAGCAGTAAACATGTCAGCTATTTCCCTTAAATGGGTCAACAGTCATCTCACAGTTCCAGTTTTGTCTGTTGTCCCTAGCAAACATTGAGCAGTAAACATGTCAGCTATTTCCCTTAAATGGGTCAACAGTCATCTCACAGTTCCAGTTTTGTCTGTTGTCCCTAGCAAACATTGAGCAGTAAACATGTCAGCTATTTCCCTTAAATGGGTCAACAGTCATCTCACAGTTCCAGTTTTGTCTGTTGTCCCTAGCAAACATTGAGCAGTAAACATGTCAGCTATTTCCCTTAAATGGGTCAACAGTCATCTCACAGTTCCAGTTTTGTCTGTTGCCCCTAGCAAACATTGAGCAGTAAACATGTCAGCTATTTCCCTTAAATGGTTAAACAGTTATCTCCAGTACCAGTATGTCTGTTGCCCCCAGCAAACGTTGAGCGGTATACATGTCAGCTATTTCCCTTAAATGGTTAAACAGTCATCTCCAGTACCAGTTTTCTCTGTTGCCCCTAGCAAACGTTGAGCGGTATACATGTCAGCTATTTCCCTTAAATGGTTAAACAGTTATCTCCAGTACCAGTTTTGTCTGTTGCCCCCAGCAAACGTTGAGCGGTATACATCTCAGCTATTTCCCTTAAATGGTTAAACAGTCATCTCCAGTACCAGTTTTCTCTGTTGCCCCTAGCAAACGTTGAGCGGTATACATGTCAGCTATTTCCCTTAAATGGTTAAACAGTCGTCTCCAGTACCAGTTTTGTCTGTTGTCCCTAGCAAACGTTGAGAGGTATACATCTCAGCTATTTCCCTTAAATGGTTAAACAGTCATCTCCAGTACCAGTTTTGTCTGTTGTCCCTAACAAACGTTGAGCAGTATACATGTCAGCTATTTCCCTTAAATGGTTAAACAGTCATCTCCAGTACCAGTTTTGTCTGTTGCCCCTAGCAAACGTTGAGCGGTATACATGTCAGCTATTTCCCTTAAATGGTTAAACAGTCATCTCCAGTACCAGTTTTGTCTGTTGCCCCTAGCAAACGTTGAGCGGTATACATGTCAGCTATTTCCTTCTGTCCTCCAGGGTCCCCCAGGTCCTCCTGGACGACATGGTCCTTCTGGCATCATGGGCGCCACTGGAAAGCCTGGACTCCCTGGTCTGCCTGGCGCCATGGGACCACCGGTAATAACACTATATATTCCATACAAGTAGGATATTATATCTGAGACTACCAGGTGTTAACATTACAGTGGAGATAACTAGCAGCTGTAACAATATTGTTTGAATATTTATTATATAGAGTCATGACTTATTGAGTATGATACATTTCTGAATTGTCTATGAATAATGTGAATTTGAGATATTAAAAATGTGCTTCTTAATAATCAACCTTTTTCTTTTTGTTGTATTGAAATTAAAGTTCATTCAGAGAATTGTGTATCAGGGTACCTGTTGACTTGGTGTAGTTGTTTCAAGTGTGTTCAGTATGTATCAATTTGATAGGCTTTGCTATTCAAGTACAATGGGTTCCGATGTAAACTTGAAAAATGACTGCTCTTCGTCAAATTGTATGTTTGTTTTAGGGTATGAACGGCGATAATGGTGAATCAGGACCCAAGGGTGATGGTGTAAGTATCGCTCTAAGTCTCTTATATATGTTGCTTGATATAAATGTTACAAATATTTTGCATTGTCTGGTCCAGATTCAATTATTTACAGGCCGCCGTCATATAGCTGGAATATTGCTGATTATGGCGTTAAATCAACAAACAAATTATTATTTTTGTTGTTTTCTTCTTCCTATTATGATGATGATGATGATGATGATGATGATGATGATGATGATGATGTTGTTGTTGTTGTTGTTCCTGGCCTGGCATCTTGATCATGTGTGACAATGTTGTTGTTTCAGGGTCCTCGTGGACCAATGGGCGTGATTGGCTACCCTGGACCCCGTGGGGTGAAGGGAGACTCTGGACCCAGAGGACCTATTGGTGACACTGGACCCAAGGTAGGTTACACACCTGATATCACTGCAGTTCTGTTGTAATGACCAGTCAAATGTGTTCATACCCTGTGAACTGTGGCATATTTCCTGTCCATGGTGGATCATACAACTCTTGCTCAGAAGTTGTTTGAGTAGGTTTACAATATTAAAGGCCCCTTTAAAGCATTCAAGCATTGTATTGAATGCAGTTATTGCATTATTTCATGTGAAAAATTGCCTTGCCTTTGTATGTGTTTGTGATGGGTGTCACTGTCAGATAACACCTGGAATCATCACTATTTGATAGGCATCAAAGATTTATTCTATAGGCGGAATTGTACAAATAACTGCTTTTAGCAGAGATTTCTTATGATTATGGAAAATGTTTTCCTCCAAGTACATGGCGTAATAGTTGGCAAAGGGCGAAGGACACGTGAAGATCCAGGGTAGAATAGGACTTATGCAACCCACCTTGCAACATAAAAGGCGACTATGCTAAGAGGCGGCTAGCAGAATTGGGTGGAGAGGCTCGCTGACTTGGTTGATTCCGATTGCGTGGATCAATGCTCTTATGTCAATCACTGAATTGTCTGGTCCAGACTCAATTATTTATAGACCGCCGTCATATAGCTGGAACATTGCAGAGTGCGGCGTTAAACAACAAACAAACAAACAAAGCAAAGGGCTAAGTCACTGAACTGGTTAATGGTACCTAATGTATAGTGGATGACCTCACTTGATAATGTCCCCTCCAGGCGGGCGATAACTTCATCACGGACATGACGTATCTGTGTGATATCATCCAAGCGTGTAATAATGGTATATTCTGCACACAGTGGAAACCTGTCATTGAGTCCTATGTATTTACAAGGGTTGATTATCAGTTCTCAGCCTCACAAAGAAGCCAGAGCCCAAACACAAATCTACAAGTTCTTGATCACTGCATGTTTCTCAAGTCCATTTTCAAAAGGTCGCAGACCCTTGCTTATTTTACTGACTTATCACAGCTAAACAATTTACTCATTTGCCTCAAATTTGTGTGGATATGCCTCTATGACATCATCCAATGTCCACAACAATAGATTTCACTGTATAGCAAACAAGGGTTGATAGATAACTTCTGAGCCTCACAGAGAAGGATTTGTATAGCAAACGACCCGTGAAGATCCGGTGTAGAATAGATCTTCAGCAACCCATGCTTGCCGTAAAAGGCGACTATGCTTGTCGTAAAAGGCGACTAACGGGATCGGGTGGTCAGGCTCACTGACTTGGTTGATGCATGTCATCGATCCCAATTGTGTGGATCGATGCTCATGATATTAATCACTGGATTATCTGGTCCAGACTCGATTATTTACAGACCGCCGTCATATAGCTGGAATATTGCTGAGTGCGGCGTTAAACAACAAACCAACCAACTGTATAGCAAACGTTTCTGTATTACTACTTGGAGTCACTTGAAAAACAGAGGTGTATTGTTACACTCATTGTAATCTTGTTGAAGTGTCCTTGATAGGTAACTGTGTGTATTTCATGTTTAGGGAACTCCTGGTCTCGATGGAATGAAAGGCGGCATGGGTAACAAGGGTGACAAAGGCAACTTCGGCATCCGTGGACCCATCGGTATCGAGGGTATTGATGGCACCAAGGTACGGATTCTGTAAAATAACATTTGCGAATTCATAACTAAAATTATTTTTGCAGTTACATGTACCAATAGTTATGTTGATTATAATATGATGTCTTAAATGTTATGATATCACATGTATATTATTTTCATTTGTAAATCGGTTGGTTTATTTTGGCAGGGAGACTCTGGTCCACCTGGTGAGGTCGGCCCAGTTGGAATGGGCGGAGAAAAGGTGAGATAATCGTTTTATGATCCCTCATGAAAAATCTAGCAATTATTTTATTAATTAAGAAAAGGATATCTTATATTCTTATATTCTTGATTTTGTACAAGCTATTTGTCTGCAGTTCCATATTCAAACAGTGTTATAATTCAATTTGTTTTGTTTTTTTGCAGGGTAGGATTGGAATTCCTGGTTTCCCTGGATACCCAGGACCCCCTGGAGAGAAGGTGTGTGATAAATTCCATATATATGTAGTCAACTTATCTTCATTCTGATTGCCTGCATTTTATGATATTGAACTCTAGTTAGTGCAGCTTTCAGTTTGTATAACAATTTATAAAGTCAGTATCTAATCACTGACTATTTACTCTACAAAATTCAAGTTTCCATAACCTTGCATGTTTTGCAATTTATCTAAACTAAGATGAAAGCTTTTGTTTATCATTACATATTAATTAAACAAGATGCTGTTTCTGTTGGTGAAAATGTTCTTTTCAATATTTGTGTGTTTAGGGCGAACGTGGCCGGAATGGTCGTCGTGGAAGGAGAGGAGCTCGTGGGAAGTTGGTCAGTTATCTCCCCTTATATTCATGTACAGAGATGCCTTAAAATGTCAAATCTAATTCAGCATATCATTTGTGACTGTAAATTTATGATTTCAGCAGATTTATAATCTGCAATATTGTTGAATGTGTATCCTATTTGAGTTACTGGGCTATCTGCTTTGAATATTTATCACATAACCATGTGACCTGTCGAAATCTTTATTGCCATTAATTATTATCTGATATGAGTTGTTTTTGTTGGAATTTATAGTTTTTGTGGTACCAACTTTGAATATTTAGTAAATGTAGGCACTTTCTTGTCAGATAACATGTTTATCTAATATGGTGACCTGACAACGTCATTTTGTTCATGAGAAGCATTTATTGAAAAAATTACAAATGTTCTCTTTATTGCATATTTTCTTAGTAACCGCATCATCTTACTCTGAAAACCACAATGTCATTGAGGAAGACTGAAAGGTCTGTCATGAAGTGTTATTTCACTCGAGTGAGGTATTAGTTAGGTATTATCAGATAAATATCATATTTCATCACTATAACAATAACATCTAACAATATTTATGTATCCTCAAGAATGGATTTTGACCCTATAATAACTCAGATTTGTGAATGCTTTCATCCAGAATATGTTGTGTTTCAGGGAGTACACGGACCCCCAGGGGAGAGAGGCGAACATGGACCCAGGGTAGGTTAGCGGGCATGTTGGATTTTGTTTCAGGAGTGTACAACCAAACATGTGTTCTTTATCAATGGGGGTCAGATCCAATATACAAGTGGTGCTCTATGACAAATTTTCCTACAACAAAATGTCATTGTTCTTATGGCCGCATATACAAAATAAATCTGTCTGTCTGTCTGTCTGTCTGTCTGTCTGTCTGTTTGTCTGTCTGTGGGGTGATCTAGACTAGCATTAAATCTCTGAAAATATGTTTAGGATATTGTCTTTTAGTATATAATACAAAGATGTCGACGGAATCTGTTGTGTTTCATCTTCCCGAGGCAAGTGAGTTAACTGACTATATAAGTCCAGTTTCCACCCTTGCCGAACTAGGCTCATATTATGGAGTTAGATTTTGGCTGGACTAACGAGTCTATGCATAGTCCAATCAAAATCACGCACCGAAATTGAAATCCGGTTCGTAGAGTGTCATGCAGATTTCGTTCGACTGCAGGATTTGCAAAGCATGTGCACCGCTAACTCGTTGTCAACAGATATTTTCTAAATCTTTTCATGTTTTTAATCAAGGTGGTCACGTGATTTGATGCACTTCGCGATGTAAGACTCGTTTTATCACAATATAGATCTTGTTTATCGATCAGATCGTCTTGACTGGGCGCCACCATTTTGTTTGAAACAAATGCAAGTGATACGAGAGGTTGAATCTGATTGGTCAATAGGAGAGGCATAGAAAGGACATAACTCGTAATAGCCACTGGTGGCGCGACGATAGAGCCCAGGAATTCCAGCCTAGTTCGGCAAAGGTGGAAACTGGACTTTTAAAGTCAGTTAACTCTCTTGCCTCAGGAAGATGGTTGTGTTCAAAATTAAGATATCTAGACTTGAAAAAATATTGTAGACTTGAATGGGAATTTCTGGATATTTTCTTTTCAGTGTGAGTATGAGAGACTAGGGGTGATCTTCCCAATTGATTGTTGATCTTTTCTGGGCCCAATTAGACTGTCATGTTCTTTGGATCCCCTAATTCGCACCCATTGAGTCTGTACATCTGATGATTATCATAAATCACTGGTCCTTTAGTTTTATAGCTTCATCTGGTTCCACTTAGTTGATGAAACGCTGTCTCCATTACAGCAATGGTACCGTCCTCGTGTATGATGGACTCCCATGCACCTTCTGAACCTTGTCATAAGAGGCGACTAATGACATCGGGTGGTCAGGCTTGCACGTCATTGTATGTCAACTGCGTGGATCGATGCTCATGATGTCAATCACTGGATTGTCTGGTCCAGACTTGATTAATTATAGGCTGCCGTCATATTGCTGGAATATTGCTGAGTGCGGCGTTAAACAACAAACAATCCTTCTGGAGAAAACATGACCGTCCAGATTAATGGTGTTTCGCTATAAGGCCAAATAATGTGTCTAGATTTGTGGCAAAAGATGACTTTTGTTGCTATTGAGTTATTTGTTACAGGGTCAGCAAGGCGAGCGAGGAAAGCAGGGCATCCCCGGCCCACTGGGCCCCAAGGGTGATACCGGAGCTCCCGGGCCCCCAGGCTTCCAGGGAGAACAGGGAATACAGGGACAGCCCGGACCAACTGGGCTCATGGGACCTCCCGGATCAAGCGTAAGCGGCCAGATTAGAGATTTTTTCAGCTGCAGCTACAAAACCAAATATTTTTTATTTAAGACAAAGAGCCTCAGAAAAACACTGTGCAACAATGTAATATTTGTGGCAGGCAATTTCTTTTTTTTATCAAAAGTCTGAAGCATAATTATTTTTACAAATGGTTGGTCTCATAGTGAATTATTGCAAATTGCATTAGGAAACCACATTCACATTCTCACTAAGCCTATATAATCACAAATCCGATGTTTCCCAAAGTAAAAAAAGTGGCATGTTATGCAAATGATAAAATCCTTTGTTTACATCATCATTACATAATTATTATACTTAAACGTGAAGATTTGATTTATCGTCATGAATAATCATATTGATGTATTTGTTTCAATAATGGTATGATATTGTAGATATTAAAGCCTTGTTTGGACTCAGTGTTGTATAAATAATTTATCCCATGTGTTTATTTCCAGGGTCTCCCAGGAAAGGATGGTATGCCTGGCTTCAATGGTGACCGTGGTGAACCTGTGAGTATAGAGCTTCTTTTCACAGACTTGCAATCTTCCTTCTAGAAGGGATCCGATAGGGGATATTTGGGGTAAACTGCCGACTGCCTGTTGTTGCAAACACTTGCCCCCCCCCCAGGGGAACAGGGTAAGAATAGGTCCCTATCATCTATTGCTGCATGGCCTTTAGAGAGGATAGACTTGGAGCAGGTGGTTGGCTGTTTACGTGTCATCATGCCATGTCTGTTGCTCATGATTTCAGCCACTGGTTTTCCTGGTCCAAACTAAAAAATTATAAGCTAGCTGAAAAAACTTTGCAGGATGATTTGATATGGCTGATGTATTGCTGAACAGTTGGGATAGTGAGATGGAATTTGTAACGTTCAAGATTATTTCACTTATATTGCATGCATGCTTCTGTGTGTGTGGCTGTTTGTACTATACTGGACTTATAATGGTTTAATAGTGCAAGCAAACTGAGATACCATGCCACAGTTTAACATGGATACCCAACTCAGACACAATATACGGACTCCAACCTGACAAGTTTCTGAGCTCAAAGCAGGGTAACAAAAAGTACCATTGTCTATGTCTTTTGAATTGACATGGCCACAGGATTGAACCACTAACCTATCCATGGAAGTGGTCCTCTTCAAATCCACTCACTTACTCTAATACTTGTGTGCCCTATTAGTTTCCTGTATATCTACCAGTTGCAGTGTAGAACTTGTACTGTGGTAGGATGTAGTCCACCCCACTACTGTGTTGTTTGTCTCGACAGGGTCTGCCAGGATCCCCCGGCCAACCTGGACCAATCGGCGTCATGGGACCTCCTGTGAGTAAAACTCTGTATTGCCCTCAAATTGTTTAAATGTTCATATTCTTGATCAGTTTATCATCACTATCCCAGTGATTATTCCAGACATCAGATATTCAGACACATGACATAAGTCTGTAAGAAACTCACTGATATCTAATCACGTTATAATGATTTAGAGATAAACCTGTGTTTTTACATTTGAGGTAGTCTAACTTTAGATTAGATACCTCTTATTTTAACTTGGAGAAGAATGGTTTCAAATGTATAGATAAGATATTATTGGATTTATTGGTGCTATCATATGTTAATAACTAATGACAACATCAGTTCTTTGTTGCAATAGTAGCAACTTTTCGGTGTAGAATGTGTGTAAAATATCATTGACTGCAGTATTTGGTGTAATCGTCTTGTTCTCCGTTCACAGGGAGCTCCAGGAGAGCCCGGCACTGAGGGCGAGCGAGGATCCCCTGGTAACCCTGTGAGTAGTGTTCTAATTAATCACTTTCACTGATTGGTTTCATGCAGTACCCCCTTCTGTATCTATCATGAAACTGTGATCTATTTTCTAATTATGCTTTGTCATAATAGTGATCTTGTTGGGATGCTGAGTTTAGCTTCATCATAAGGCCTGTTTCTGTTTAATTGTTGGATGGTAGATGAGCTCTTTTGCAGAATAATGTTATCATTTAGTTTATTTGTTATTAATTATATGAAGGATACAGAAAAAAGAATGCTCAAATGTATGAAGTTTCCACTATCGTTTATTATTAACTGCTTTTTTTTAACCAATGGTCATTCTTGAATTGTTAACTACCGTATTCGATGTAATAAGCACCCCGCTCTAATAAGAGCCCACGGCAATATTTGTTAATATATTGGCTAGTGAACAATCCCAATTGGCACAACTTCTGACTGATCAATGTACACAAGACTTATTTATTCATGTATAATACGCACTCGTGTGTAATATGCATCCTTAATTATGGGCAATTAAATTCTGGAAAATATATCTGTTGTCTATAATACGCACAGACTTTTCTTTTGTATCATTTCTGGCTGTCAGCATAAACCCTGAAATTTACGATCTTTCAACTCTGTTGTTTTCTCACTAAAATTATATTCTAATAAGAGCCCCCTTTTTCTAATTTTGAGAGCGCCCTGAGCGCTTATTACGACGAATACGGTAAGTCCAACATTGGATACTCTCAGTGTTAGAAGCTGGGGGATCCCATGAGAGGACTGTCAACCACTAGCTATAATCAATATGTTAAATACAAGTAATGAGCAATAGTAATTAATTACTCATATTTAGTGTATTTTCCAGATATTACATTTCAAACTGACTAATTTATTATGATTAGAATTGTAAACAAATCTCATTTTTACATGGGCTGTTATATTTTGTATACAACTATGAGGCTGTTTATGTTTAATCATGAACACCAAGTTGTTGGTCGCCCCTTTACGTGTGGAGGATGTTTCAGGGTCCACCTGGTGATACTGGTCTGCCTGGCGCTGGAGGAAAGCCTGGAGGAGAGGTATATAAGATATATACACCAACTTACTGTCATCATGTTCTTACTCATCATGTTGTCATAGTTTAGAGGGGCGGTCGGGTAGCCTAGTGGTTAAAGCGTTCACTCGTCGCGCAAAAGACCCGGGTTTGATTACCAACATGGGTACAATGTGTGTAGCCCATTTCTGGTGTCCCCCGCTGTGATATTGCTGGAATATTGCTAAAAGCAGCGTAAGGCCTTACTCATGTTTTAGAAGCATGTGACTCCCAACTTCTTTGAAGATCTAAAGAGTACTGGGGACATATTCATATAAGTTCTTTGCGTGCTTAGGAAGTCTTATGTCTGAGAAAATTGTCCTTCGAAAGTTTAAAGAGTACCTTTATTTCTCTAAATAGCTCAGGATTTACCTTAGATACAGTGGAAATTCCCTTTGAGAGTTTTCTCATAAAATATTTCTATACTTAGTTGATTTATTCCAGATTCGGTGGAAATTCCTCTGAGAGTTTCTCTTAGGACATAGCTGAAAGTTGCTCTTAAGTAAAAATCTTAGCTAATCATTTTCTCAGACAACTTTAGCTATTTCTTAGAAGTTTCATAGAATCTTTTTGAACATGGCCCTGGTGTTTAACTGGCAGGGGTCTCATAGGCTTTTTATAGAATTAGTTTTGTTCAAATTGAAGTTTAGACAAATTCTTCTTGGTGGAGTGTTTTGTTATTTTCACTCAGATGAGAGATGTAGAGCAATTTTTAATGGTATTGGAAATTGGGGATTCGGCTTTGGGGATGTTGAAATATTAATTTTAATAAAAAACAATTGTAGAGGTTTCTTCTTTTCATCCCGATAGCATGTGTCCCGAAGCATATCATATTTTTGAATGAAAAAAAATAATTATTTTTTAGGTCAAATGTATAGCCTCAGATTTTTTCGAGAGACATCTTGACAAAACTTGAATGTTCTTTTACTGAAATGCTGTGCGAATCCTGGATACGACTTAGTATGAGTCAGGAGTTGACCAGTGTGAGTGAATGTTTCAGGGTCCGGCTGGACCACGTGGTGAGGCTGGACCCCCTGGACCCCCCGGACACGGAGGTTTCCCCGGAGAGAGAGGATTCCCTGGACCTGCTGTGAGTATATACACTGTTTCCCTGAACCTGCTGTGAGTATATACACTGGACCTGCAGTAGCTGGCAGAGTAATGCTGCTTTTGACATCTGTAAAACTGTATTTTTATATTTCATACAATATACCTTCTGAATGGATGTGTTAAAAATTCCATATTTCATTAGATACCTGCCGCCGTGGCAGGTATTGAGGTGAGAATCTATGACTAGTACGTTAAAACTGAAATTCTAGAATGATTTGATATCTCTTGATCTCCTAAAAATGCATGTACTATATTCCTACAAATTAGTATATTGTGGTGTGTTTTTATACTATGTTCCTACAAACTAATATCAATTGATGTTTGATGAAGTGAGAGTATATGCTATTTTACTATAAACTAATTGATTATTGTGTTTCCATGTTGTGAGTATATATACTATATTCCTATAAACTATACACTTGCAGGGCGAGAGTGGTATTCCTGGTACAGGTGGCCCAGTTGGACCTCAAGGACCTCACGTGAGTAGTCTCCCTTTGTAACTGAATTAACAAGCTCCTTACAGCTACCAGTCACAGCTCCCCACTGAGATAGGTGGCCACAGCCATGTGTGGAGTTGAACTTGCAACTGAATGACCGTTATGTTTACAAACAAGCGGAGACTGTCGTGATGCCAAACTCTTCCCCCAACTAATTTATTTTGTTTGTTTGTCAATTTCAATTTCTATTTCATTTCACTGGCATGTATCAAGTCTTTGAAAAGGCCTTCAGAAGTGATAGACATAAGGAAGAAAATTTAATGATGTCAACTTCTTTATTACGAGGAACACAACATTTCGGAGTAAATGCTTACTCCTTTATTCACCTGATGAAGGAGTAAGTATATACGAGCGTACTCCGAAACATTGTGTTCCTCCTAATAAAGAAGTTGACATCCATCAATTCTCTTCCCTAACCATCATGTAATTGGTTTAGTAAGAATGTAAATTGTATGTTGATGCATTTCCGTTAATCTGCAATCTCGAACCAATCTGATTTAATTCATCATTTAAAATTCATCTGGGAAACAGTAAGTCAAATTGCTGGGTGCGGCGTAAAACATGAAACGCCCAAACCACAACCATGTATGTAATTGTGCTACAGCTTAAGAACTGTCCCTTCAACCGTCTTGGTTTTGTTGTTGTAGTGAATTCACTGGCCGTTCTGAACATTCGTAAATAAAAATGATGCAACTATAGGTCATCATGCGAAAGGATAGAGAAAAAAATAAATCAACCATAACATGTTCGAAGTCGGAGAAATCACTTGAATATATTGATTCTGAAAGTATTATCAACAAATTTGAGCGATTTCTCCGTTACAGAAATCTCTGTGGAAGTGTTTTAAGAAACAACACTTAAACTATGCAGTGCACGTGGTGTCTGTGATTCCAGTTCTGGAGACAGTGTGTTGTTGTTTCAGGGAGAGAAGGGTTCCCAGGGAGAGCCAGGCCCGGCAGGATCGACAGGCATCAGGGTAAGGAGTCCAGCAGCTTCTCAGGGATTTATCTAGACCGTCTCAGAGGCTGATGTACGGCCCTAAGTCTGCAGCAAATGGCAGAACAAATTCCCAATTTGAATTAACAATTCCAAATTTTACTCAGAAGTTACAAAATATAAACATCAATAAAACTCAATTTTGAACAATATCAAGGGTACCCAAGATAAATCCCTGAAAGATTTATTTAAACTCACAAAAGACTTTACACAAGTTTACTGAAACTCTTGAAACACAGAAACTTGAGAGTCTTTCCTTTTTCATAAAAATGAATATGTTGATTGAAACTATGCTGTTACTTATATCCATGCTCATGTCATTTTTGTATTTATTTTCTGTGACAATTGATTATCATCTACTAATTATTTTGCGTTATCTTCCAGGGCCGTATTGGCATGCCCGGCCCACTTGGCAAGAGAGGGTTGAAGGGAGATATGGTGAGCTAACATGTCATTCCTTGATAAATCAAGCAAATAAAAGTTGGTAATAATATAATATTATTTGTAAAAAAAATTCATTGCATTTGCCATAAAGTTAATGCATTTTTCAGTATGTGTCCATTTATGGCAAGGGATGATGCTGTGATGTAACTGAAATACTGATCAATAGTGGTTGAACATAGATAACTCACTCACTCCAATATCTAATGTGCGATGTTTGTCTTTCAGGGCCAAGAGGGCATTCCTGGTCAATCTGGAGTCCAGGGACCGCAGGGACCAAGGGTAGGTCATTATCAGTGTGTTGATTGGGTCACTAGGTCATTATTATTGTTGTTAATTTTGTTATTATTATGTTTGCATTCAAGTGATATGGCTAGGTTGCAGGGAATAAATCTTCATAATGTGACAACGTATTTTGCAACATAGTGTGTCTAATGTTACATGTTACATTAGTGAAGAGTACAAGCTGAGGGTATTTGAATTAATTCACAAGTCTTGACAAAGGAAAGTTAATCCATAATTTAGCTATTTGAAAGTAGTTTATACTATATTATCCACAATTGGTTTTAGGATTTGCTTTTCAATTGTGGATTTGCCAGTCACATAACATCTTCTTCACTTATTAGCAGTAATACACTGACAGCATGATGATGTCACATTGCTGATAATAACATATGGAACAATGTGTATGAATCAGCCAATCAATGTGAAGTAAATATTAACTTTTGCAGTGAGAAAATAATTACACAATATCTATGCTATATCATTCTATAGTGATTATAACAGATTGTAGTACATGTATTTGGTATGAAAAAGTTCTGCTATATACATATTACAGTAATCGTTTGTATGATGAAACTAGTGTGTGCATTTATACATGTGTTGGGCATGTTGTGATAATGTATACATGTTCCAGGGCTACAGAGGACCATCTGGACCTGTGGGTGCCCCAGGCTTGGAGGGAGATAAGGTACGTCTTTCACCGTGTTCTTGTCGAAATAAATAAACTGACTTATTTGTTTCAGCTTCATTGCACTTGACAAGAGTCTTTAATTTCTAATCCAGGAGTTTTATTGGTACACTTTAGTTGTGACAGTGGAAACCTCTACTGATTTACCCATGGACAGAAGCCTCACAAATTTTGACACAAAGCTTTTTGTATTTTTTCTAAATGCTACAACTGTAAAGATATGGTGTATTTAATTTTTGTTTTGACATGAACACTGAGTAGCACAAAGTAACCCTTAGGTTAAGACCGCCTCTGTTGTCTAGGGGTAGAGCGTTCACCTGTAGAGTGGAAGGCCTAGGTTCGATCCCTGGCTGTGTCATACCAAAAGACGTTAAATGATGATACTTGTTGTTGCTCTGCCTGTCCCTTGGCATTAAGAGGCTAAAACAAGGACTGGACGACTCGGAGTCAGTATACTGTGTCTGAGTGGGGTATTCATGTTAAACTGCGGCATGGTATCTCAGTGGGCTAGAGCTATAAAATCGTCATTAGTCAGGACTAGTACAATCAGCCACACACACACGTGCATGCACGTCACTATATAAGTGCAATAATCTTGGACAAGACGTTCAACCCCACTTCACCTCACCTCACCTCAGGTCAGCATCTTAAATTAGGGTTGCTCATTGGAACCAAATCACTTTTTTTATCCAGAAGCAATTTAATATTACAATAATGAGGATGATTCTGCAATAAAAGTTTTGATATTATTACTTGTTACACATTTTCTGCATGTGTAGATGTGCTCCAGATCTGACCACGACTTGACCAGATATGATGTATTGGATGAGATGTGTAGGAAATATGATATATCCTTTACATATTCTTGTTTCCAGGGAGATCCTGGCCCCCCAGGAGAGAGAGGATTCAAGGGTGATGATGGACCATTTGTAAGCTATTACCTTTATACTTGCTATTGTTTTGCTCAGATCAGTCTCCCCAGCTTGGGGACCCATGAAGATTCCGGGGTAGATTAGGTCTTCAGAACCCATGCTTGCTGTAAAAGGCGACTATGCTTGTCGTAAAAGGTGACTAACGGGATCTGTGGTCAGGCTCGCTGACTTGGTTGATGCACGGTCATCAATCCCAATTGCGTGGGTTGATGCACATGAATAATAATCACTGGATTGTCTGGTCCAGACTTGATTATTTACAGACCGCCGTCATATAGCTGGAATATTGCTGAGTGCGGCGTTAAACAACAAACCAACCTAACCAACCCAAGCTTGGGTGGAGCTGTGGTTTGTTTGTTGTTTAACACTGCAGTCAGCAATATTCCAGCTACATGATGGTGGTCTGAAAGTAATCAAGTCTGGCCCAGACAATCCAGTGATTGACATCATGAGCATTGATCTAATGAGTTGGGATATGATGACAAGCATCATCCAAGTCAAACAAGCATGGGTTGCTGAAGAATATGGAGTTACTGGAGCTATGATGTCATTTCTGTATAGCCTCTATTATGTCTGCTGACCTCATGCTTGTCATTCAAATCTGACTAAAGAAGATTGGGTGCTCATTCACGTTAAGTCTGGCTCAGATATGATCATGTACAGTCGCCGAATGCTGACTGTGTGTTATGAAACATTCACTCATTGCTCATATACCACATACCATGTAGTGAATAACAGTTCTGAGCTGTCTTCTCCCTTTGTTTACTGACAAAGGTATGTGGAAATAGGAGATGCTGTATTGTCTGTATTCCCTTCTGTATTGTCTGTATTTCCTGCTGTATTGTCTGTATTCCCTGCTGTATTGTCTGTATTCCCTGCTGTATTATCTATATCCCGTGCTGTATTGTTTTATTCCCTGCTGTATTGTTTGTATTCCCTGCTGTATTGTCTGTATTCCCTGCTGTATTGTTTGCATTCCATGCTGTATTGTCTATATTCCCTGCTGTATTATCTATATTCCCTGCTGTATTGTTTGTATTCCCTGTTGTATTGTCTGTATTCCCTGCTGTATTGTTTGTATTCCCTGCTGTATTGTCTATATTCCCTGTTGTATTGTCTGTATTCCCTGTTGTATTGTCTGTATTCCCTGCTGTATTGTTTGTATTCCCTGCTGTATTGTCTATATTCCCTGCTGTATTGTCTGTATTCCCTGTTGTATTGTCTGTATTCCCTGATGTATTGTTTTATTCCCTGCTGTATTGTTTGTATTCCCTGCTGTATTGTCTGTATCCCCTGCTGCATTGTCTATATTCCCTGATGTATTGTTTGTATTCCCTGCTGCATTGTCTATATTCCCTGCTATATTGTTTGTATACCCTGCTGTATTGTCTGTATTCCCTGCTGTATTGTCGTTATTCCATGCTGTATTGTCTATATTCCCTGCTGTATTATCTATATTCCCTGCTGTATTGTCTGTATTCCCTGCTGTAATGTCTATATTCCATGCTGTATTGTTTGAATCCTATGCTGTATTGTCTATATTCCCTGCTGTATTGTTTGTATTCCCTGCTGTATTGTCTGTATTCCCTGTTGTATTGTCTATATTCCATGCTGTATTGTTTGAATCCCATGCTGTATTATCTGTATTGTCTGTATTCCCTGCTGTATTGTGTTCACTGCTGTATTGTCTGTATTCCCTGTTGTATTGTTTGTATTCAATGCTGTATTGTCTGTATTCCCTGCTGTATTGTCTATATTCCATGCTGTATTGTCTATATTCCCTGTTGTATTGTCTATATTCCATGCTGTATTGTCTGTATTCCCTGATGTATTGTTGTATTCCATGCTATATTGTTTGTAATCCCCACTGTATTGTCTATATTCCCTGCTGTGTTGTCTGTATTCCCTGCTGTATTGTCTGTATTCCCCACTGTATTGTCTATATTCCCTGTTGTATTGTCTGTATTCCCTGCTATATTGTTTGTATTCCCTGCTGTATTGTCTGTATTACCTGCTATATTGTTTGTATTCCCTGCTGTGTTGTCTGTATTCCCTGCTGTATTGTCTGTATTCCCCACTGTATTGTCTATATTCCCTGTTGTATTGTCTATATTCCGTGCTGTATTGTCTGTATTCCCTGCTATATTGTTTGTATTCCCTGCTGTATTGTCTGTATTACCTGCTATATTGTTTGTATTCCCTGCTGTGTTGTCTGTTTTCCCTGCTGTATTGTCTGTATTCCCTGTTGTATTGTCTATATTCCCTGTTGTATTGTCTATATTCCCTGCTGTATTGTCTGAATTACCTGCTATATTGTTTGTATTCCCTGCTGTGTTGTCTGTTTTCCCTGCTGTATTGTCTGTATTCCCTGTTGTATTGTCTATATTCCCTGCTGTATTGTCTTTATTCCCTGCTGTATTGTCTATATTCCCTGCTGTATTGTCTATATTCCCTGCTGTATTGTCTATATTCCCTGCTGTATTGTCTATATTCCCTGCTGTATTGTCTATATTTCCTGTTGTATTGTCTATCTTCCATGCTGAATTGTCTATATTCCATGCTGTATTGTCTGTGTTTCAGGGGCCACCTGGACCACAAGGACCTCAGGGACCACAGGGTGCAGCGGGTCCACCAGTAAGTCTTTATACACCAGTCGTCATGCCAACTTGCCTAAGCAGGGAATTATTTAATTTAGTGATTTCTCATTGCCTGGGATTTTGTCTGGAGGTTAGATATTGTTTCAGCTACAGCTGCAAAACCAGATATTTATTTTAATTAAAGCCATTAGCATGAAGATGAAGAAAATCGCCTTGCAACAAATGTAATTTTTGTGGCAGATAATTTCTCCTTTCTTTCAACAGCCTGAAGCATAATTATTTATTTCAAGAGAATTTTCTGGGACAATATATTCTTTTCTACAGTCCCAATTTTTTATGATTAATATTGATGTTTACTCATCAGTAAAGAAGTTTACTTCAAGAAAGGGGAAATCCTCAATAATAAGGGTGGGTTCGTGCCATGTGATGTGTCATGTGAAGTGTCATGTGATGTGATGTGTTTTTCAGGGCCCCTATGGAGAACATGGACTGCGAGGTGTGCAGGGAGTGCGAGGCAAGAAGGTGGGTGACGAGGGCTGGAGAGCATCTAGTGCTGGCATTCTACACTTTGTTGGGATGGGTACAAACTGCCACTGGAACTATTTGCTATTCAGTAGTGTAACATTTATAACATATTTGACCATGTAACCATGGTTATTAAAGAGTTAGTTGTGTGATTATTATAACACATTCCAAGATGCTCAAAATGATCTTCAGCTATGACAATAGTGAGGCTATGTAAATGGGAACGGTGGAGTGGCCTAGTGGTTGAACCATTTGCCTGGCACACTGAAGGACTGTGCTGGATTCCCTATGTGGGTTTAACGTGTGAAGCATGTGGGAGTGTCCTTCATTGTGATATTGCTGGAAGTTTGCCAAAAGTGGTGTAAAAACTATGTCACTCACTCACTCACTCACTCCCGGATACTGATCATTTACATCAATAACAAATTCTCAAAGAAATGAACTTTGTTCCATGTGATCATGTTCACATTTGGAATATAATGTTCTCACCGCCAAAAGAAACGCGAACCATAGAAACATATAGAGAAGTATGTACATTAAGAAGAGATGTTTCCAATGTGTACCAATTAATGACAAAAGTAACTATCAGTCAAGTGTCACCACAGAGTGTCTTTATTCTTACCACGATATGCTGCACGTGATTTCCAAACTTTACACACTAATCCTGCACAAATGGTGTATCTCGAGTCATGGATCTATGACGTCACATGTGATGCCTTCATGAGCATTGATTCACACAGCATACCATTATGTTCATTTGTGCATCAAACCATTCTAATATCTCTTGAACATGAGTAATTCTTCATATATTAACCAACATGTATGGTAATCGCGTTTCTCTTGTCGGTGAGTATACAACAGTGATATTGTAAGAGTGCAGTCATTACCTATTGCAGCTACTTAGCTCATGCTCATGCTGTTAGTGCAGTGTCTCGGCGAGGCATGTTATGTGTATCTGTGGTTGTTTCTCCAGGGTTCCGAGGGCCCCAGAGGTTTGTTGGGACCCACAGGTCTCCCAGGTATTCAGGGCATGCCTGGCCCCCCAGGACCCAAGGGAGAGTCTGGCGATCGTGGATCTATGGTAAGTTGATCTGTTAAACAAGGGAGGTGGGGTAGGCTAGTGGGTAATGCCAGGACCCAAGGGAGAGTCTGGTGATTGCGGATCTATGGTAAGTGGATCAGTTAAACCAGGGAGGTGGGGTAGGAGAGTGTCTAATGCCAGCAACCAAGGGTGAGTCTGGCTATCGTGGATCTATGGTAAGTGGATCAGTTAAACCAGGGAGGTGGGGTAGGAGAGTGTCTAATGCAAGGACCCAAGGGAGAGTTTGGCGATCATGGATCTATGGTAAGTGGATCAGTTAAACTAGGCAGGTGGGGTAGGCCAGCGGGTAATGCAAGGACCCAAGGGAGAGTCTGGTGATCGTGGATCTATGATAAGTGGATCAGTTAAACTAGGCAGGTGGGGTAGGCCAGTGGGTAATGCCAGGACCCAAGGGAGAGTCTGGCGATTGTGGATCTATGATAAGTGGGCCAGTTGTGGTGGGTAAGATATCTCACTTTGATACTATGTGTGAACCCATAGTCATGCCATGATGGAGCTGAAATATTGTCTAAAGTGGCCAGAAACAATATTCAATCTGGGTTAGTGTAGGTCCCCAGCAAGCTGTGCCGGTCATGAGAGGTGACTCAATGTTTTAGAAGGTCAAGCTCGGAGACTATGTTGATAACATGTTATCGTTTGCTGACGTTACTCATAAGATCAATCACTGAATTGTCTGGTCCAGACTTGATTATCTAAAGGCCACCATTCTTGAGCTGGAATATTGCTGAGTCGTAATGTCCTGAAATTCATTACAATGGGACCCACAGAATGGATACAGCTTCACAAGATATTTGATTCATCCACACTGTGTCTGAATGGTCTGGAGTATTTTTCTGTTGTGTGTTTTATATTTTGTTGTTTATCAATCAACAGTTTTATGAATATTATCTATCTCTGCCTGTAAATCTGACTCAATCTGAGGATTCGTCTCGCTGTTTCAGGGACCACCTGGAGCTCCAGGACCAATGGGAATTCCTGGCTCCCCCGGAACACCAGTAAGTGTTTCGTGGTCCAAGGGCCACTAGTGAAGACATGTTTCAGAGTCGATGTACATTGCTGTACAGTGTCGATGTACATTGCTGTACAGTGTCGATGTACATTGCTGTACAGAGTCGATGTACATTGCTGTACAGAGTCGATGTACATTGCTGTACAGTGTCGATGTACATTGCTGTACAGTGTCGATGTACATTGCTGTACAGTGTCGATGTACATTGCTGTACAGAGTTGATGTACATTGCTGTACAGTGTCGATGTACATTGCTGTACAGAGTCGATGTACATTGCTGTACAGAGTTGATGTACATTGCTGTACAGTGTCGATGTACATTGCTGTACAGAGTCGATGTACATTGCTGTACAGTGTCGATGTACATTGCTGTACAGTGTCGATGTACATTGCTGTACAGTGTCGATGTACATTGCTGTACAGTGTCGATGTACATTGCTGTACAGAGTCGATGTACATTGCTGTACAGAGTCGATGTACATTGCTGTACAGAGTCGATGTACATTGCTGTACAGAGTCGATGTACATTGCTGTACAGAGACTCCATAGTGTCAAACTGTTTATTACAAAGAAAGATTAGATATAATACATCATCCAGCTCGCTGCGGATTCCCAGCAAATTATGCTTGTTGTAAGAGACGACTAAA